TGGCAAACCTGGATTTTGAAGTTTGTGATTTTCCAGTTATGAATATTATTTTACAAGTATAAAGCTTTATTATTATTATTATAAATAATAATAAATAATTAAATAAACATCCTAAATTAAAAATTTTTAGTCGTGTACTTTCTAATCCTATAATTCAACTGAAATGTTTTTCTTGGAGAAAAATAACAGGAAGTAATTTCTATTTATTCAAGTATTTTTGATTTAACATTAATTACTTTCAGAAGCAAGTCTAAATAAAAAACTAAAACTGAATTCAATTTATTTAATTTAGTTTTTACTTTTTATTCTGGAGAGATTATTTTAATCAAATTGTTACATTAAAATTTCGTATAAAATGATTTATAATAATTTTAAAAATTATTTGTTGATTATCTTATTTATCATTTGATTATATAATAATAATAATAAATGGTAAACTAATATTTTACAAAAAGTAACACTATGTGAAATTTAACATTTAAGTAAAACTTTAAACTCCAAAGTTGAAACAGTAGACAATAAAGCAAAAATAAACCATTCATAATTACTCTAGCACAAGATTTTAATAAAACCAGAAATGCTTTTGGACCCTATGAAAATGTTTGTGAGTTTATTAAAATCTTACGCTGGAGTAAGTATGAATGGTTTATTATTTTTGCTGTATAGTAAAATTTTTTTTTACAGGAAATCATCGTTAAGTTGAACTTGGATAATCCCATTGAATAATTTCAAAATCCCATTAGTTCATAATTGTACTTATGTCCCAGCTGGGGATATAGAGATTTACATGTTAAAGAATTTAATTAGTTTGAAATACAACTGCTTTGTAATTTGAAGTGAAAATTCTGTCCAAACTGTGATATGTGTATGTTAATTGGTTTGTTTAGATAAATGATTTTCAACCAGTATGCCGTGAGAGGATTGTAGGTGTGCCACAAAAATTTTTAAAGCTTATTAAATAAATTATTTTTGAGAGAAGCTCAAAGAGCAATAAGTATAAACGTCAAAATTTAAAAAATTAAAACCTCTTTTCACTTTTTAAAAATAAAAAATGTATCTATAATTGTCCATATTTAGTTGAAACTATTTTGATTTAGAAATAGACCTACCAGGATATTGGTCAGGTTTCTAAAAGCAATTATCATACCACTTTTAAATGCAAATTAAAACTTAATGTTAATTGTTTTTCTTATGTAAATGAAAATTATTAATTTAAATAACTATTGCTGTAATCTGCTGCTAGTTTAAAGAACCACCATACTGTTTTATTTAATTCATAAAAAATATAGATAAAAAGAATTTGGTTAAGTGACAAGTAATATGGCAATAGAATGTTTACAATAAAACACCAACAACTGCCTTATGACATTGGACTATATTACAGCTAAAATAATAAGTTAGTAATAAATTTGGCCTAAGAGAGAGGCATTAGGTGCCATCTCATATAAAATTTAATAATTATAATTTAATTAAATAATTTTAGATTAAACTAGAAGAAAAGAATCAGCTTGGAGCTGAATTCAAACCCACAACTGTATCAGGATGTTTATATTTGTATAGATGTTTACAAACACAACTTTAAATCACAATTTTTACTGAAGAAATTTAATTATAGATTCAAGTGTCTCATGAGATAAAAAAGGTTGAAAAACACTGATTTAGATTGAAGTGTTCCCATACTATAAGAGAACAATAGACCAAGAACAATTCTAATCTGGTTGATATGACTGCTTTTACAGTAACACATTTTTGGATGTCACTTTACCTATTACTATCCTTTTTTCTCTTATTACATAAAATACAGCTGGATTTCAGGATTGCAAGATTGGGCTATGAGTAGTGGATTGAGATATTTGTAGGGATCTAAGCTACTCGTTTTTGGGCCGCTTTAAAAATAATTTGGGTTACATTTCGCGAATCACAATAAAAGTCCAAAATTTTGGATTTTTATTGGAAGTTACATTTCAAAGAATTTTGATTTACTTTTTTAATTAACAAAAATAGCATTCTGTAAAAGTACATATTCCATTTGCTTAATAAATTACATCAGTTATGTGGCATTTGGTATATTATACAGAAATATGTAAATCTCAGATAATTTTAAATTCAATAATTTAAAGTTGTGAATATTTCGTCTCCTGAATTTTGAACTAACAACGATTTCCTGTAATATTTTTCCTTCTTTCACGCTCTCTCTCTCTCTTCTTTCCTTGTATGTTTACTAAAACTTTATATAATAGTTTTTCTTGGAAACTACATTCAACAATATGTATTTTTTCATATATGCATTTTGGACATTTTTTTGCCTATCTTCAGTCTGATCTTTTAAGTCTATTTAACATCACATTCAATATATGTAATATTTCATAAAATTCAAATTTTTTTGTACATTATTGTTATTTCTGTCTTTTCTTTGTTTTTTGTATTTCATATTTAATACATTTAAATAAGATAGCATTTCACAAAACTTAAAAATAAATCAAGTTATATGAATGTCTAGTTACAGTTTTTCTATCTTGTATACTAAATTGTATATAAAATGTGTATATCTAGTATACAGTTTTTCTAGTTACATATCTTGTATTTTATATCTAGTATACAGTTTTTCTAGTTAAATTTCTTGTATTTTATATCTAGTATACACTTTTTCTAGTTAAATTTCTTGTATTTTATATCTAGTATACAGTTTTTCTAGTTACATATCTTGTATTGATGTAAGGTTTCCTGCATACTTCTTAAAAAAACCATAACTAAATATTATAACAGTGATATATTTTTAAGTTTTGTGGAATATCTTGTTAAATGTTAAAAAACATTTACCAGTTATCTAGAAGAAGGTAATTTTGTTCAATAGTAGTTTATATACAAAAAGAGAAGTATATTTGAATGTTATTGAGCAATACTTGTATGACTAGATATTTTAATAGAAAATATTATAGAAGATTCTATAAACATTTTCTCTTTTCTTTTGTCTGAGATCTAAAGGTATGTTTTGTCTAGATTATTATAGTATTTAAACATGTCTTTTATTACTTCTCTCTTTCTTATTTGAATTGATTGTTTAAAATAATGTAGTAGGATAAATCATTAAATATAATTTTTTAAACATTTTAATAAAAAAAAATAAAAATTTAAAATAATTTATAACTTATGAATCTATAAATAATTTAATTTAGATCCAATTATCTAAATTAAATAAATCTAAATATTACATTTATTTTTAAATTGGTTTATCTATCACTTCATATTTAAACTCTTTGGATAATTAATTTTTACTGAAAAAAAATGTCAGTTTGCTTCTTGTAATTGCTTTAGCCAAGATATCAATTAATGATATCAATCAATTAATTCTTGTAATACATAGCCAAGATATCAATTATAAATCATGTTTATTATGAAGATTTGGATTTTTATTATGTGGATTTTTGTAAATTTATCGAATTAATTGCTTTTTTTAAAATGATTTAAATCAACGGTCCCAACCTTTTTATTGCTGCGGACCGGTCAACGTTTGATAACTTTACTGCGGCCCACTGAGGTGGGACGTTGATTGTTCATATTTTAGATTGATTTAATTTAATAATTTTAATTTAACTGTATTTAAACATGCCTTCAAAATAAAATACAATTACACCAAAAAATGAATATAACGTGATTTAACATTTTAACTCACTAGAATGCTAAATCAATGAGAACCCTGAGCTTGTTTCTTTGCAACGAGACGGTTCTATCTAGGGGTAATAGAAGACAATGACACTCAAAGTGTTTCTTATGTCCAGTTTATTCCTTTGTTCTTTCGTCTATTAAAAGTCGCACAAACCCGAGACAAATACACCATAGTAAATAAAATGGAAATAATTTAATGTTCCTTGGGTGGCCCGGTATCATTTGATCCATGGACCGGTACCGGTCCATGGATCGTGTGTACACTGGTGTACAAAACTTATGGCAAAGTAAAATTTGTTGCTTAACTCCACAAAAAAAAAATTACCTGGGAAACATAAAATTCAGAATACAGAGACAGTATTTTGTACTTAATTAAAGGATGAAAAGTATACTAGTGCAAAAATGAATAGAATGCCTACAGTATGGAATCAAAGCCTTCTTATTGTAGTCTTGCACTGTGACTATGCATGCTGACTGCATGCATTTTGTGTGCATACACGTTACCTATGATGTCTTCTTCCTGCATACAAATCACCTTTCTACTGAATTCAGTGTTCATTGTACTGATTGCAACAAGCCCTTTTCTACAATTTCATGGCTTTCTACTTAAAAATTACATTGTTGCTTAAGTTTTGCACGCCAGTGTAGAATGGTGGAGGTTCTACAAATTTACAAGCAAGCCATTACAGTTAGATGTATTAATAAGAAGGGGACTGATATGCTCTACCCAGCTTTGAAGTTTTTCCTTAAGGAATATTTCAAATACGTATAGTCTTCAACCTATAATATCGAATATTTTTAAATAAGCTTATTTAAAAATATTCGATTTAAGAATCCAGTACATTAAATTTGGCCTGAAGAAGAGCCCAGGAGGGGCATTGAAAGCGTTTGCCAATATTAGTTTGGAATTTTCACACTGGATATAGGTTGAAGACTATACGTATTTGTTGTATATGACCCGGTGTGGGAGAAATCCTTGAAAGAATATTTCATATTAACTTAATTTTTTTTACCTATATATTTCATTAACATTGGTTGTTGTTTTTTTAAATAATGAATATTTTATTTTGTAATATTTTCTTATTATTATATTATGTTATTTTGTTTATACATTTTATAAATGCAGTGCACGTGTTCTAAAATTTGTATTTTATATCAATTCAATTTGTGGAATCTGAAAATGGCCATTTACATGGCTGAAACTATTTGTTTGATTTATAGAAATTTTAACTTAAATGCTGTCTTTTGGTGATTGTTATAATGACTTTACATAATAATAAATTCATTGTTATAAAATTATGTTTGAGATGATTTATAAAATTTTTTTCTTTCAGATAATCCTAACATCATGATCAATGAGAATTCTAACAAGACAAGTAAGACTTTAGAAAAAAATAAAAAGCCATCGTTATTTACACGATTGCTGAGAAGAAATAAAAGTAAGATAGAAAATTATTCAAATGCAAATTTAGAATTAGAAATTCAGAAAATTTTACTTCATTATTCACCTAAAAAGGAGTCTTCCAATAGAGAATTCACTCAACATTATTCTACTCACCCCAATCAGAATTTAAATGAAAACTTGTATAAGTATTTATCTAAACATAAACAACATATGAGCAGTGGAGATTTGAGCAAAAGTAACTGGTATTCTACAGTAGTTGCTGCAAGTAGATCACTGAATAGTGGATTAAACAAAGAAATAAGTGTAGAATTAGCAAATAAAATAAAAGATGATATCAAATATTTTAGTTCAGAGAATAATTCGGTCCCGTCAAATATATCCAGATTATCCCAGAATGAAGACGATAATTTTTGCCGCATGTGTTTGAGCATTTTGCCATTAGAAGAGATGTATCGATTGTCCAATTGCGAATGTAAATTTTGTATAATGGTAAGAATATTTGTGTTTTAAATTGTTTATTTCACTTAGAAATATTTAACAGTTCAAAATAAATTATATTTGTTGACTTCTGTATACCTATTTCTAATCTGTTGAATCATCAGTTTGACGGAAATTAGATCTTCAACTAATACAGATAATCTAAATGACATCTTTAGTTAAGTCAATAATTTTAAGATTAAATATTAGATTTTTTTAAGACTGTTTTATAATTATTTAAATTACTTATTATTCTGAATAATTATTTTTAATTAAGACTATATAATTTAGCTTTGATTTTCAGTAATATTAATTATTAGATCTCAAAGCATTGGAAATTCATTTCATTTTGTTCATCTTTGAAAATAAAGTTTATATTTTTCCATTTCCATTATTTTTTTTTGTTTTATAAAGGTTTTTAATGTAAAGTAAAAATGAATGGTTCCTGTAATATAGTTAATTTCTTAGGAAAGTAAAAAAATTGTCTACTAAAAAGTAATTTTATTCACCCAAACTAAATATAAAAAGACACATAATTTTAAAATTTATTTTAAATAAAGATATTCATTAAACAAATTATTTCAAATAAAGATATATGTTGTTAGCTTTTCCATTTTTCATTCTCTGTTAAATCATTTTGAACAAATGAAATTAATACAAATCTATGAGCACTAAGTTTTAGCTCTATGGAAGGCTTATCACACACATTGATGTTGTCAAAGTAATTGCACACAAGTGAGTAGACATGGGTTTATTATGATGATGGTATGCATTTCAGACAGGTTGTCTGGTCCTCTTCATATGTATTCGTTATAATTTGGTGCATTTACAGGTGTCTGTGCCTGTAAATACCTGTACGCAGACACCTGTAAACCCATTAAATTGTAACAAATATGGCTGAAGAGGGATAGACATACTGTCTGAAATGCATACTGTTGTCACAATAAACCCATATCTATCCACTTCTGTGTGATTTACTCCGACAACATCAACAGTGTGTGATAAGTCCTCCGTAGTGCCAAAACTTAGTACTCGTAGATTTATATTGTAACATAAGGACAAATCACTAATCTAAATGAAAATAAATTATGAAAAGAAATTGATTTGGTTCAATGAAATAAAGCAATGCAAGAAAAGAGAGGAATGCCTCTTTGGTGGACTTTCTATGGAAACTCTGTAACCAGCTTGTTAGTTGGATGCAAACCGGAACCAGCTACCATTGTTCTTTTATACATTTGGCCACTAGTGGCCAAAAAGAAATTAAAGAAATAAAACTAAAAATTTTATAACACTAATATCTTAGTATTTAGAATGCTTTATATTCATGAATAACTGTATCAAGATATTACATCATCTCTTTTCTTTATTTTTTTTAATCAAAAGTGCTTATTCATGGAAAGTATATGTTTGTATTGTGTGTGTATATATATATACATACACACACACACAATACAAACATTCCATCATAAATTTCTTTTGATATTTTCATAATATATATTATTATAATTTTAATGTAGCAATAGTAGTAATGTCTGCTAAAAAACATATTAGTTTAATAATTAAATAGCAAATATGCAATAATATAATAATCAGTTGGTCAGCATTTTCTTATTTTAAAATTTATTTTATCCTATAAGAAATAAAATTAAACTTCTTAACATCTTTAAAGTATTTAATATTCAGCAATTGATCTTTTGTTATCATCAAACAAATGATAATAATTACAGTAGTTTGATTTTTATTTTTATATTATAATTACTTAAGCTAATTTTCATTAGTAAGTTTATCTTTAACATTTCTAAACTATCTTTGAATAATAGAAATTATTATTATTATAGCAAAATCCATCGGTTCCAATATTATACCTTCAATGAAGTAATTTTGTAATCAGTGTTAAGTTAATAATTTAATAATTAAAACTACTAAACAGTTAATTACTGTTTAGTAGTTTTTAATCTGTAAACTATGCAGTAGTTATAATGATTATTTTATAAAGATCATAACAAAGGTATTTTTAACATTTAGTGTATGCAACAGTACCTGACAATAAACATTCTAGAAGGCAATATTAAATTTTCTTGTCCCGATCCATTTTGTAATAATACTGGAAGTATTAATGACCAAGAGGTAAGTTTTAAAATATCGTCATTATTTTAGTTTAATATTGCGACATTCAATCGGATAGGGTTTTCTGTTGTTATTTATTCTAATTTCAGAGAACTATTTCATAAATTTATTTTTTCTTTCATTAAATTAATGCCATAAATTTCTTCAAAGATTGAGATTAATTTCTTCATGAAATTACATATTATATTCCTATATCAATTGTTTTAACAATAATAACAAATAAACAAAATAAATTGATTTACTGAAATCAGAAATTTTAATGTGAATTTAAAAAAAATTAATTTTTTGATTGTAGTTTTAATGTTTTGTATAAACTGAAGATTATTTGTGTCAAAAATAATCTTATTATTCTCTTAAAAAAATGGGTACAGATAGTTCAAATAAAAATATTATTTTTATTATATTATAATTCATTTATACCATGAAATTTATCAATTTAACTTACAAATCAGTGCTGCAGACTGATTGTTGCATAGATTTCCATAAAGTTAAACTGTAATTTCAGTTACGGTTGTCAAATACATCTCTAATAAAAACAGATAGTGACAAGCTGTTTGAAAAACAATGTTTTAGCATCACTTTATATCATTACTTTTTTACTTTACATCTTATACTAACAGCAATTTTGGTATAAGGCAATGAAAGTTCAATGATAAAAAGTATAGTAAATGAAAGCTGGAAATGGTTAGCAGGAAAGTTTTAAAGAATAGCAGGTTAGGTTAGGTTAGGAGTAAAAAGATGGAAGTAATGAAAATAAAACAAATTAGTTTTGTTTTTGGAGAATAATGTGATATAGCAAACTTAAGAATGTATGAGGAATGAATGTGTAGTACAAACTGGCAGCAAGTTGCTTAACTTCTCCAGCAAAAAAATACTATGACACTAGCTCAAAGTTAAAAAAATGGTGCAATTCCATCTATTATGAAATGTTATTAAAAAATAACTTTTATATTATTAATTATTATAAAAGGCCAAATTTTGAGGGTAGAGATGAGTTTTAAAGGTACTGTAATTGCCGATAGCGAGTAAAATTTTGAGATTTGCAAAAACATATTAATTTCAATATTCTTTGAAACGAGCCTTTTTTGACTAAACTAATTTAAATTCATTAATGATTTATGTAGCTAATGAAAAGCCATCTTACAGATTTTCATAGATTTAAGTAATATTGATATATAATATAAAATATAATAAAAAATAAATGTTTTATTATGGCATAAAATTTGTTAATTAATGATAAAAAGTAATATAATTGTTATGACTTGTTTAAAGATATAAAGACATTGGATTAGTTAATTACTTATCCTTATAAAGTAATAATTAACATAATCTATTGAACTAATATTTTATTATTTATCTTAAATTTTAGATTGAAAAATTAATTGGAAGTGAAATCTTTCAAAAGTACAAACAGTTTAAATTGAATGCAGGTAAAGTATAAATATAAGTATAGCATAATTTGTTCATTTTTAAAATAAATTAAATATTAATAAAATTATATTTGTGGTTTGTATAAACATTAAAATGAAAGTTTATTTAATTAATTAATACTCCAGTTTTAATTCTTATGAGAATATAATCAGTGTGGTGGAGTTGCTAAACAATATGTTCAACTCCGACCTTACCCTTTTTTAAATGTCACACTATGATTCTTTTTATAAGAAATATAACACTGAGTATCTGAATATTTTTAATGTAAAATTTCTATAAAATGTTGTACTAAAATTAATGAAAATAAAAAAAAATGGATATAACAAATTTACCTTGAAAAAACTTTTGAATACATAAAGAAACACACTACATCTTAATAGCTAAAAGAATTCCACTTTTATTAGTTAAATAATTAATTGATTTAAATTTAATTATTTTTAAGAAAAAGAAATTAATACAATAAAACACAAAAAATAAAGATTTGATGGATGACATAATAAATTGGTTTGTAAAATAGTTTCTCCCACTCCGGCTACAATGGGAATAGTTAATTTCCTACCAAAAGTCGACTAAACAAAAGTATACGGTAGAATTTTAAAATATGAAATTTAAAAAAAATCAGTTATCTTGAAACAAGTGTGATCGTGCCCTAAGAACTTAAACCAGTGAATAATAAGCTGAAACCACCCTATTTATTACATTTTGTAGTTTTCTCTTTCTCTTTTAGTTTGTTACAGTTAGATTCTGATCTTGGTTTTACTTTGTTAATTGTATTTTATTGACTGTTTTAAGACTAAATTATGTTATCGAAGCTCTATAATAGTCATAAATAACTCGAAACCAATGGAAGGCAGTGAAAAAATTAATTAGTGAAATTAGTCAAAAAAACAATTGATATCTAAAGTAATACATCCGAGATGTAAAAAAATATTGTGGCAAGTAAAAATTATAGCACCAGAAGTGAAATTCAGATTTTTTTCTTGGGAGCTTCTCTTGGGTAAAGATAAGCTTAGTGCTTTGAAGCGATACCATGAATGTTTATTTTTTAGATGTGATTCCACAACTAACTACCAGCGTTCAGTTGTTTTACCTATTTTGACCACTGGTGGGCCTTAAATTAATAAAAGCTATTTCCTAAAAGTATAGAACATGTTGCATTAGATATGCATAACATTTTGCATAGCCAGACCTCTGTTTGATTTTTGTTCCCAGAACTATTACATTAGATATAACCAGTATGGTTATACATTAATTAATAGTCTTATTAAATTTGGCTTTAATCATTATCCGCATTCATTTTGCTTTAATAATTATCGGGCTTAGAGATGTTTATATTTGTTTAAGCACTTCTTAGAAAGACATTAAATAATAGAAAATATGCAACATTACAAATACAAGAAAAGAGAACTTTTTGTAATTAATTTAATTTCTTAATTCAAAAAGAAAGAAAAAAATTATTTATTTACATCTTTTATAAATATTTTACACATAAACAAGAAATTAAATTTTGAATACCATGAAATTTATCAATTTAACTTACAAATCAGTGCTGCAGACTGATTGTTGCATAGATTTCCATAAAGTTAAACTGTAATTTCAGTTACGGTTGTCAAATACATCTCTAATAAAAACAGATAGTGACAAGCTGTTTGAAAAACAATGTTTTAGCATCACTTTATATCATTACTTTTTTACTTTACATCTTATACTAACAGCAATTTTGGTATAAGGCAATGAAAGTTCAATGATAAAAAGTATAGTAAATGAAAGCTGGAAATGGTTAGCAGNGTTTTTATTATACTGAACTTTATAAAATGCATTTTTAATAAATATTTATTAATTTTCATATATATTTTATTATAATTAATAATGTTAATTGTAATAAGATATATATAATTAATGATTGATTAGATTTATCTGAAATATCATTAAGCAAAAATACAAATATTAAGTGTAAAATATAATGATTTTTTTTATGTAGGAAAAAAAAAGCAAAAGAAATTCAGAATTCTATATTATTACAAATAATAATAAATAATGCAATAAATTCTAGCTTTATATTTTGACTATTTAAATTTAACTTATAAATTATGTAAAGAGATTAATAATATTTTATTTACCTGTTTTCATTAATTTATCATTTTATATGTCAACTTTAAACATTTTTATGTTCACTTTAAAGGATTCAGAAGCTCTTATGTTCAGAATTTAAATTATTTCTCTTCAAAGAAAATATCTTGACACATTAGCTGCAACTGTAGAGGGAAAAAAGCAGGAAATGTTATGCTGGACAGTTTTTTTTTTATATAATAAATTAAATGCGTTTAATATTAAATGTGATATTTAAATTCCATTTATTTTCACAAAAGATATTTTAAAAGTGCTTGATCAATAATTTTAGGTTGCTCACCATCATTACATATCTGTAATAGCTAAACAAAGAAAAAAGTATAAAAGTACTTACCATTCAAAATTCTTCATTTTGGTTAACTTCTTCTTCTATCATTTTGCTCATTATTGATGGGAAAGAGATCAATTTGCATAAAAGTTTGAAGTAATGTCACGTGGTATTCATTAACCTAATTGCTAGTAATTTTGAGACTCTGAAGCAGCAGAAAAAATTATGTAAAATGCATAAACTCTAAAAGGAATGTTAAAAATTCTAAATTGTGAAAAAATTGGAATTGAATTTTAGTATTGTGTAGTTTAGCTTGAGAGTAGATGGGATAATGAAACAAACTTCTAAATGTCTGTTTTATTATTTGTTTTTGTACATTTTTTTTTATTTGATATTTAGTTTCATTCTTCTTTTTTTCAAAGTATATCTTTCCCCAAAACCACCATGCTTCTTTTCTTATTTATTATAACCAAAATTATAACCTTTTCCTAAGAGTCCATACTGGAGCAAGTATTGCTTTCATAAGCACTGAAAAGGGCATTTAGTATGCAACGATAGAGTCATGCCAGTCATCTATCTAACACCTTTTGGGGGAAAATTTTTGAATTGAAATAATGTGACTTCCATTTTGCATAGGAAGTTCATATATAGTTAATCAGGGATTCTTGCCTCTAATATTTTTATATCTGGTCTCGTCTTTCATCTATCTAACTCCATTATTGAGATTATGGGGAATTTATTGATCTACAATTTTTTCAAATTACAGCCCAACCAGAGTTAGACTAAGAAAGTGAAAACAAAATGCATTTCTTGGACTGTTAAGAAAGGCAAATTTATAATCAACGTTTCTATTATAATATTATATATTGTTACATGGAGTAATTTTGAAATTTTGTCTGTTTTAAATAAATTTAGAATGTTTTCTACTCATTATTAAATTATGATGTAAATTTTTTTTTGTGTCATCAAAAATCTTAAATTATTCTTTTAAAAATCAACAAACATTTTAATTTAAGTTCAATAAATTTAAATTTTAATACATTTCTCTCAGTCTGATAAATTCTGTTAGATATCAGTTTTATTTAAAATCAAATCGTCAGGTTTTTAAAATTAACTTCAGTGCATAGATTTTACTCAACTAATTTTTGGGTTATGTTAAAATTCTACATCATAAATTAATCAAATACATGAAAATTGAATTGTTATATATGATATTTATCTACTTTTTAAAACTATTTTATTTAATGTGTTTGTTTTATTCTTTAGTGTAACACCATGTTTTGTTCATCGTGTAAAGAATTATGGCATTCCACTCAATTGTGCAAGGAGAAAAAATGCTTTAAGTAAATATATATTTTATGTTAAATCTTTCATTGAACTATATTATTAAAAACTTTGTTTGAGTGAAGACAGTAATTATCTTAAATTATTTAAAAATTTAATTAATCATTAATCATTAACTGTATTGTTGTCTGAATTAACTCAAAAACATTCAACAAGCTATTGTAAAATTTTCTTTTGAATACATCGTTAAACTATTATATTTTATCAATACTTTAGCTAGTGTTGCAAATATTAATGGATTAAATCAACAACTTTACATTATTTACAATATCTGAATTATCAAGTAATAAAAATCAATATTTCATCAATTATATAAACATAAACTGATTCAGAATTCATTAAATTTTTATAAACATTAGAATTAAATTATAATTAAAAATATAAGATAGTGATATCATTTATTTCNAAAATGAATATAACGTGATTTAACATTTTAACTCACTAGAATGCTAAATCAATGAGAACCCTGAGCTTGTTTCTTTGCAACGAGACGGTTCTATCTAGGGGTAATAGAAGACAATGACACTCAAAGTGTTTCTTATGTCCAGTTTATTCCTTTGTTCTTTCGTCTATTAAAAGTCGCACAAACCCGAGACAAATACACCATAGTAAATAAAATGGAAATAATTTAATGTTCCTTGGGTGGCCCGGTATCATTTGATCCATGGACCGGTACCGGTCCATGGATCGTGTGTACACTGGTGTACAAAACTTATGGCAAAGTAAAATTTGTTGCTTAACTCCACAAAAAAAAAATTACCTGGGAAACATAAAATTCAGAATACAGAGACAGTATTTTGTACTTAATTAAAGGATGAAAAGTATACTAGTGCAAAAATGAATAGAATGCCTACAGTATGGAATCAAAGCCTTCTTATTGTAGTCTTGCACTGTGACTATGCATGCTGACTGCATGCATTTTGTGTGCATACACGTTACCTATGATGTCTTCTTCCTGCATACAAATCACCTTTCTACTGAATTCAGTGTTCATTGTACTGATTGCAACAAGCCCTTTTCTACAATTTCATGGCTTTCTGCTTAAAAATTACATTGTTGCTTAAGTTTTGCACGCCAGTGTAGAATGGTGGAGGTTCTACAAATTTACAAGCAAGCCATTACAGTTAGATGTATTAATAAGAAGGGGACTGATATGCTCTACCCAGCTTTGAAGTTTTTCCTTAAGGAATATTTCAAATACGTATAGTCTTCAACCTATAATATCGAATATTTTTAAATAAGCTTATTTAAAAATATTCGATTTAAGAATCCAGTACATTAAATTTGGCCTGAAGAAGAGCCCAGGAGGGGCATTGAAAGCGTTTGCCAATATTAGTTTGGAATTTTCACACTGGATATAGGTTGAAGACTATACGTATTTGTTGTATATGACCCGGTGTGGGAGAAATCCTTGAAAGAATATTTCATATTAACTTAATTTTTTTTACCTATATATTTCATTAACATTGGTTGTTGTTTTTTTAAATAATGAATATTTTATTTTGTAATATTTTCTTATTATTATATTATGTTATTTTGTTTATACATTTTATAAATGCAGTGCACGTGTTCTAAAATTTGTATTTTATATCAATTCAATTTGTGGAATCTGAAAATGGCCATTTACATGGCTGAAACTATTTGTTTGATTTATAGAAATTTTAACTTAAATGCTGTCTTTTGGTGATTGTTATAATGACTTTACATAATAATAAATTCATTGTTATAAAATTATGTTTGAGATGATTTATAAAATTTTTTTCTTTCAGATAATCCTAACATCATGATCAATGAGAATTCTAACAAGACAAGTAAGACTTTAGAAAAAAATAAAAAGCCATCGTTATTTACACGATTGCTGAGAAGAAATAAAAGTAAGATAGAAAATTATTCAAATGCAAATTTAGAATTAGAAATTCAGAAAATTTTACTTCATTATTCACCTAAAAAGGAGTCTTCCAATAGAGAATTCACTCAACATTATTCTACTCACCCCAATCAGAATTTAAATGAAAACTTGTATAAGTATTTATCTAAACATAAACAACATATGAGCAGTGGAGATTTGAGCAAAAGTAACTGGTATTCTACAGTAGTTGCTGCAAGTAGATCACTGAATAGTGGATTAAACAAAGAAATAAGTGTAGAATTAGCAAATAAAATAAAAGATGATATCAAATATTTTAGTTCAGAGAATAATTCGGTCCCGTCAAATATATCCAGATTATCCCAGAATGAAGACGATAATTTTTGCCGCATGTGTTTGAGCATTTTGCCATTAGAAGAGATGTATCGATTGTCCAATTGCGAATGTAAATTTTGTATAATGGTAAGAATATTTGTGTTTTAAATTGTTTATTTCACTTAGAAATATTTAACAGTTCAAAATAAATTATATTTGTTGACTTCTGTATACCTATTTCTAATCTGTTGAATCATCAGTTTGACGGAAATTAGATCTTCAACTAATACAGATAATCTAAATGACATCTTTAGTTAAGTCAATAATTTTAAGATTAAATATTAGATTTTTTTAAGACTGTTTTATAATTATTTAAATTACTTATTATTCTGAATAATTATTTTTAATTAAGACTATATAATTTAGCTTTGATTTTCAGTAATATTAATTATTAGATCTCAAAGCATTGGAAATTCATTTCATTTTGTTCATCTTTGAAAATAAAGTTTATATTTTTCCATTTCCATTATTTTTTTTTGTTTTATAAAGGTTTTTAATGTAAAGTAAAAATGAATGGTTCCTGTAATATAGTTAATTTCTTAGGAAAGTAAAAAAATTGTCTACTAAAAAGTAATTTTATTCACCCAAACTAAATATAAAAAGACACATAATTTTAAAATTTATTTTAAATAAAGATATTCATTAAACAAATTATTTCAAATAAAGATATATGTTGTTAGCTTTTCCATTTTTCATTCTCTGTTAAATCATTTTGAACAAATGAAATTAATACAAATCTATGAGCACTAAGTTTTAGCTCTATGGAAGGCTTATCACACACATTGATGTTGTCAAAGTAATTGCACACAAGTGAGTAGACATGGGTTTATTATGATGATGGTATGCATTTCAGACAGGTTGTCTGGTCCTCTTCATATGTATTCGTTATAATTTGGTGCATTTACAGGTGTCTGTGCCTGTAAATACCTGTACGCAGACACCTGTAAACCCATTAAATTGTAACAAATATGGCTGAAGAGGGATAGACATACTGTCTGAAATGCATACTGTTGTCACAATAAACCCATATCTATCCACTTCTGTGTGATTTACTCCGACAACATCAACAGTGTGTGATAAGTCCTCCGTAGTGCCAAAACTTAGTACTCGTAGATTTATATTGTAACATAAGGACAAATCACTAATCTAAATGAAAATAAATTATGAAAAGAAATTGATTTGGTTCAATGAAATAAAGCAATGCAAGAAAAGAGAGGAATGCCTCTTTGGTGGACTTTCTATGGAAACTCTGTAACCAGCTTGTTAGTTGGATGCAAACCGGAACCAGCTACCATTGTTCTTTTATACATTTGGCCACTAGTGGCCAAAAAGAAATTAAAGAAATAAAACTAAAAATTTTATAACACTAATATCTTAGTATTTAGAATGCTTTATATTCATGAATAACTGTATCAAGATATTACATCATCTCTTTTCTTTATTTTTTTTAATCAAAAGTGCTTATTCATGGAAAGTATATGTTTGTATTGTGTGTGTATATATATATACATACACACACACACAATACAAACATTCCATCATAAATTTCTTTTGATATTTTCATAATATATATTATTATAATTTTAATGTAGCAATAGTAGTAATGTCTGCTAAAAAACATATTAGTTTAATAATTAAATAGCAAATATGCAATAATATAATAATCAGTTGGTCAGCATTTTCTTATTTTAAAATTTATTTTATCCTATAAGAAATAAAATTAAACTTCTTAACATCTTTAAAGTATTTAATATTCAGCAATTGATCTTTTGTTATCATCAAACAAATGATAATAATTACAGTAGTTTGATTTTTATTTTTATATTATAATTACTTAAGCTAATTTTCATTAGTAAGTTTATCTTTAACATTTCTAAACTATCTTTGAATAATAGAAATTATTATTATTATAGCAAAATCCATCGGTTCCAATATTATACCTTCAATGAAGTAATTTTGTAATCAGTGTTAAGTTAATAATTTAATAATTAAAACTACTAAACAGTTAATTACTGTTTAGTAGTTTTTAATCTGTAAACTATGCAGTAGTTATAATGATTATTTTATAAAGATCATAACAAAGGTATTTTTAACATTTAGTGTATGCAACAGTACCTGACAATAAACATTCTAGAAGGCAATATTAAATTTTCTTGTCCCGATCCATTTTGTAATAATACTGGAAGTATTAATGACCAAGAGGTAAGTTTTAAAATATCGTCATTATTTTAGTTTAATATTGCGACATTCAATCGGATAGGGTTTTCTGTTGTTATTTATTCTAATTTCAGAGAACTATTTCATAAATTTATTTTTTCTTTCATTAAATTAATGCCATAAATTTCTTCAAAGATTGAGATTAATTTCTTCATGAAATTACATATTATATTCCTATATCAATTGTTTTAACAATAATAACAAATAAACAAAATAAATTGATTTACTGAAATCAGAAATTTTAATGTGAATTTAAAAAAAATTAATTTTTTGATTGTAGTTTTAATGTTTTGTATAAACTGAAGATTATTTGTGTCAAAAATAATCTTATTATTCTCTTAAAAAAATGGGTACAGATAGTTCAAATAAAAATATTATTTTTATTATATTATAATTCATTTATACCATGAAATTTATCAATTTAACTTACAAATCAGTGCTGCAGACTGATTGTTGCATAGATTTCCATAAAGTTAAACTGTAATTTCAGTTACGGTTGTCAAATACATCTCTAATAAAAACAGATAGTGACAAGCTGTTTGAAAAACAATGTTTTAGCATCACTTTATATCATTACTTTTTTACTTTACATCTTATACTAACAGCAATTTTGGTATAAGGCAATGAAAGTTCAATGATAAAAAGTATAGTAAATGAAAGCTGGAAATGGTTAGCAGGAAAGTTTTAAAGAATAGCAGGTTAGGTTAGGTTAGGAGTAAAAAGATGGAAGTAATGAAAATAAAACAAATTAGTTTTGTTTTTGGAGAATAATGTGATATAGCAAACTTAAGAATGTATGAGGAATGAATGTGTAGTACAAACTGGCAGCAAGTTGCTTAACTTCTCCAGCAAAAAAATACTATGACACTAGCTCAAAGTTAAAAAAATGGTGCAATTCCATCTATTATGAAATGTTATTAAAAAATAACTTTTATATTATTAATTATTATAAAAGGCCAAATTTTGAGGGTAGAGATGAGTTTTAAAGGTACTGTAATTGCCGATAGCGAGTAAAATTTTGAGATTTGCAAAAACATATTAATTTCAATGTTCTTTGAAACGAGCCTTTTTTGACTAAACTAATTTAAATTCATTAATGATTTATGTAGCTAATGAAAAGCCATCTTACAGATTTTCATAGATTTAAGTAATATTGATATATAATATAAAATATAATAAAAAATAAATGTTTTATTATGGCATAAAATTTGTTAATTAATGATAAAAAGTAATATAATTGTTATGACTTGTTTAAAGATATAAAGACATTGGATTAGTTAATTACTTATCCTTATAAAGTAATAATTAACATAATCTATTGAACTAATATTTTATTATTTATCTTAAATTTTAGATTGAAAAATTAATTGGAAGTGAAATCTTTCAAAAGTACAAACAGTTTAAATTGAATGCAGGTAAAGTATAAATATAAGTATAGCATAATTTGTTCATTTTTAAAATAAATTAAATATTAATAAAATTATATTTGTGGTTTGTATAAACATTAAAATGAAAGTTTATTTAATTAATTAATACTCCAGTTTTAATTCTTATGAGAATATAATCAATGTGGTGAAGTTGCTAAACAATATGTTCAACTCCGACCTTACCCTTTTTTAAATGTCACACTATGATTCTTTTTATAAGAAATATAACACTGAGTATCTGAATATTTTTAATGTAAAATTTCTATAAAATGTTGTACTAAAATTAATGAAAATAAAAAAAAATGGATATAACAAATTTACCTTGAAAAAACTTTTGAATACATAAAGAAACACACTACATCTTAATAGCTAAAAGAATTCCACTTTTATTAGTTAAATAATTAATTGATTTAAATTTAATTATTTTTAAGAAAAAGAAATTAATACAATAAAACACAAAAAATAAAGATTTGATGGATGACATAATAAATTGGTTTGTAAAATAGTTTCTCCCACTCCGGCTACAATGGGAATAGTTAATTTCCTACCAAAAGTCGACTAAACAAAAGTATACGGTAGAATTTTAAAATATGAAATTAAAAAAAAATCAGTTATCTTGAAACAAGTGTGATCGTGCCCTAAGAACTTAAACCAGTGAATAATAAGCTGAAACCACCCTATTTATTACATTTTGTAGTTTTCTCTTTCTCTTTTAGTTTGTTACAGTTAGATTCTGATCTTGGTTTTACTTTGTTAATTGTATTTTATTGACTGTTTTAAGACTAAATTATGTTATCGAAGCTCTATAATAGTCATAAATAACTCGAAACCAATGGAAGGCAGTGAAAAAATTAATTAGTGAAATTAGTCAAAAAAACAATTGATATCTAAAGTAATACATCCGAGATGTAAAAAAATATTGTGGCAAGTAAAAATTATAGCACCAGAAGTGAAATTCAGATTTTTTTCTTGGGAGCTTCTCTTGGGTAAAGATAAGCTTAGTGCTTTGAAGCGATACCATGAATGTTTATTTTTTAGATGTGATTCCACAACTAACTACCAGCGTTCAGTTGTTTTACCTATTTTGACCACTGGTGGGCCTTAAATTAATAAAAGCTATTTCCTAAAAGTATAGAACATGTTGCATTAGATATGCATAACATTTTGCATAGCCAGACCTCTGTTTGATTTTTGTTCCCAGAACTATTACATTAGATATAACCAGTATGGTTATACATTAATTAATAGTCTTATTAAATTTGGCTTTAATCATTATCCGCATTCATTTTGCTTTAATAATTATCGGGCTTAGAGATGTTTATATTTGTTTAAGCACTTCTTAGAAAGACATTAAATAATAGAAAATATGCAACATTACAAATACAAGAAAAGAGAACTTTTTGTAATTAATTTAATTTCTTAATTCAAAAAGAAAGAAAAAAATTATTTATTTACATCTTTTATAAATATTTTACACATAAACAAGAAATTAAATTTTGATTAATGTATGCTTCTTGTTTCATTTCATTGTTCCACATATTTTAATGTTAAAAAATATATATAAAAATCATAAATTATAATAAAATTAATGTATTTATAAATGTTAATTTACTATTTAGAAATAGATGAAGACCCTTCTCGTTGTTGGTGCCCAAAACCAGAATGTAATAACATTTGTCAAGTTGAATTGTCTGATGTACCTGTACCAATTGTTTGCTCAAATGTAAGTTTTTATTATATTGAACTTTATAAAATGCATTTTTAATAAATATTTATTAATTTTCATATATATTTTATTATAATTAATAATGTTAATTGTAATAAGATATATATAATTAATGATTGATTAGATTTATCTGAAATATCATTAAGCAAAAATACAAATATTAAGTGTAAAATATAATGATTTTTTTTATGTAGGAAAAAAAAAGCAAAAGAAATTCAGAATTCTATATTATTACAAATAATAATAAATAATGCAATAAATTCTAGCTTTATATTTTGACTATTTAAATTTAACTTATAAATTATGTAAAGAGATTAATAATATTTTATTTACCTGTTTTCATTAATTTATCATTTTATATGTCAACTTTAAACATTTTTATGTTCACTTTAAAGGATTCAGAAGCTCTTATGTTCAGAATTTAAATTATTTCTCTTCAAAGAAAATATCTTGACACATTAGCTGCAACTGTAGAGGGAAAAAAGCAGGAAATGTTATGCTGGACAGTTTTTTTTTTATATAATAAATTAAATGCGTTTAATATTAAATGTGATATTTAAATTCCATTTATTTTCACAAAAGATATTTTAAAAGTGCTTGATCAATAATTTTAGGTTGCTCACCATCATTACATATCTGTAATAGCTAAACAAAGAAAAAAGTATAAAAGTACTTACCATTCAAAATTCTTCATTTTGGTTAACTTCTTCTTCTATCATTTTGCTCATTATTGATGGGAAAGAGATCAATTTGCATAAAAGTTTGAAGTAATGTCACGTGGTATTCATTAACCTAATTGCTAGTAATTTTGAGACTCTGAAGCAGCAGAAAAAATTATGTAAAATGCATAAACTCTAAAAGGAATGTTAAAAATTCTAAATTGTGAAAAAATTGGAATTGAATTTTAGTATTGTGTAGTTTAGCTTGAGAGTAGATGGGATAATGAAACAAACTTCTAAATGTCTGTTTTATTATTTGTTTTTGTACATTTTTTTTTATTTGATATTTAGTTTCATTCTTCTTTTTTTCAAAGTATATCTTTCCCCAAAACCACCATGCTTCTTTTCTTATTTATTATAACCAAAATTATAACCTTTTCCTAAGAGTCCATACTGGAGCAAGTATTGCTTTCATAAGCACTGAAAAGGGCATTTAGTATGCAACGATAGAGTCATGCCAGTCATCTATCTAACACCTTTTGGGGGAAAATTTTTGAATTGAAATAATGTGACTTCCATTTTGCATAGGAAGTTCATATATAGTTAATCAGGGATTCTTGCCTCTAATATTTTTATATCTGGTCTCGTCTTTCATCTATCTAACTCCATTATTGAGATTATGGGGAATTTATTGATCTACAATTTTTTCAAATTACAGCCCAACCAGAGTTAGACTAAGAAAGTGAAAACAAAATGCATTTCTTGGACTGTTAAGAAAGGCAAATTTATAATCAACGTTTCTATTATAATATTATATATTGTTACATGGAGTAATTTTGAAATTTTGTCTGTTTTAAATAAATTTAGAATGTTTTCTACTCATTATTAAATTATGATGTAAATTTTTTTTTGTGTCATCAAAAATCTTAAATTATTCTTTTAAAAATCAACAAACATTTTAATTTAAGTTCAATAAATTTAAATTTTAATACATTTCTCTCAGTCTGATAAATTCTGTTAGATATCAGTTTTATTTAAAATCAAATCGTCAGGTTTTTAAAATTAACTTCAGTGCATAGATTTTACTCAACTAATTTTTGGGTTATGTTAAAATTCTACATCATAAATTAATCAAATACATGAAAATTGAATTGTTATATATGATATTTATCTACTTTTTAAAACTATTTTATTTAATGTGTTTGTTTTATTCTTTAGTGTAACACCATGTTTTGTTCATCGTGTAAAGAATTATGGCATTCCACTCAATTGTGCAAGGAGAAAAAATGCTTTAAGTAAATATATATTTTATGTTAAATCTTTCATTGAACTATATTATTAAAAACTTTGTTTGTGTGAAGACAGTAATTATCTTAAATTATTTAAAAATTTAATTAATCATTAATCATTAACTGTATTGTTGTCTGAATTAACTCAAAAACATTCAACAAGCTATTGTAAAATTTTCTTTTGAATACATCGTTAAACTATTATATTTTATCAATACTTTAGCTAGTGTTGCAAATATTAATGGATTAAATCAACAACTTTACATTATTTACAATATCTGAATTATCAAGTAATAAAAATCAATATTTCATCAATTATATAAACATAAACTGATTCAGAATTCATTAAATTTTTATAAACATTAGAATTAAATTATAATTAAAAATATAAGATAGTGATATCATTTATTTCTTGATTAAAATTTTATGATAAATTATATACTTTATAATTTTAAAATTTACTGATATTTGGTCATATGTTTTTAAGTTGGGAATTCAAACTAAATTTGTTTGTATATTCAAATTTTTATCGCAGAGCATTTCAAAATCATAAATTTTATCAGGATAATCGGAATATACTGTAATTATTTTAAATAAATAACCTGAACTAAAGTGCCTAACTGTTTGGCTTATTTATTCAGCTTAAAGTGCCTGAAATGTTTAAATATTCAGTTTTTTTTAAACTATTTTTAGAAATTAAAAAATGTAAATATTATTATTTATATTTTAAAATTACTATACTTATTAATTCACTTCCATCTTTATTTTTCTAATGTAAATAATATATTAAAAATTATATTAAGTAAAGTTTAACTGGCTTTATGTATAGGAATATGAATTGCCTTCTATACATATCACAAAGAATCTGCTTTGTGATACTGAAATGTTTATTGAAGTAAAGATTTTGATTTTATTTTTTAGCAGAAAAATTTATTTGAATGTTAAATAAAAATTTGTAATAGATATATATAGAATAAGTAGCTGGATGTGTATGCAAATATGAAAATAATCCAGCAAAAAACAATAAATTTAATGAAAGTTAATGTGTTTCACTACTTTGAACAGTCATTTTCAGATGAACATACATTCTAAAATTGAACAACATATTATCATTATTCCTTTAAATATTTTGCTTGAATTACTGTTTGGTTTTAGAACATGTTAATCTGAAGATGACTGCTCAAAGTAGTCAAAAATGTTAGTTTTTATTAAATTATTTATTAATTTTTTTGTGTTTGAGTGTCTTATTCTTGTAATAGATATCATATCATCAATATGGTTAATATGTACCAGTATTTACTTTTTTTAATATCAATACTCTGCACTCTGAGTAATCTGACCGTGTACTAATTCTAACTTCATGTGATCTGAACCAATTTTGTTTGAATTTTTTATTATTATTATTATTATTATTATTATTATTATTATTTGCTCAAAATAAGTTTTATATAATTTTTATTACAACAAGTCACAACTTACAGTATAATATGAAGTATAAGATATTAAAATAGTGGAAATATCATAATTAAATCATATTAAATTAAGAAAATCATATTAAATTTATTTATTTTTTTTTGTAAAATTTTTAAGTTTTTAATAAAAAATAGATAAAAACAAAGAAAACTATTCATTGGATAAAGAGAAAAGATGAGAAGAATTCAAACTTTTCACTTGTTTGAAAATTATTCAGAATACCATTTCATAACTGGATGATGTTGATGAAGATAAAGACCAAGAAAGAACTCTTCCAAGAAACCTAAATAAACATTTGAAATACATTAGCCATTCAATACAATATCTACTTGCCAAGATCTTCTTGNCTATAAGAAATAAAATTAAACTTCTTAACATCTTTAAAGTATTTAATATTCAGCAATTGATCTTTTGTTATCATCAAACAAATGATAATAATTACAGTAGTTTGATTTTTATTTTTATATTATAATTACTTAAGCTAATTTTCATTAGTAAGTTTATCTTTAACATTTCTAAACTATCTTTGAATAATAGAAATTATTATTATTATAGCAAAATCCATCGGTTCCAATATTATACCTTCAATGAAGTAATTTTGTAATCAGTGTTAAGTTAATAATTTAATAATTAAAACTACTAAACAGTTAATTACTGTTTAGTAGTTTTTAATCTGTAAACTATGCAGTAGTTATAATGATTATTTTATAAAGATCATAACAAAGGTATTTTTAACATTTAGTGTATGCAACAGTACCTGACAATAAACATTCTAGAAGGCAATATTAAATTTTCTTGTCCCGATCCATTTTGTAATAATACTGGAAGTATTAATGACCAAGAGGTAAGTTTTAAAATATCGTCATTATTTTAGTTTAATATTGCGACATTCAATCGGATAGGGTTTTCTGTTGTTATTTATTCTAATTTCAGAGAACTATTTCATAAATTTATTTTTTCTTTCATTAAATTAATGCCATAAATTTCTTCAAAGATTGAGATTAATTTCTTCATGAAATTACATATTATATTCCTATATCAATTGTTTTAACAATAATAACAAATAAACAAAATAAATTGATTTACTGAAATCAGAAATTTTAATGTGAATTTAAAAAAAATTAATTTTTTGATTGTAGTTTTAATGTTTTGTATAAACTGAAGATTATTTGTGTCAAAAATAATCTTATTATTCTCTTAAAAAAATGGGTACAGATAGTTCAAATAAAAATATTATTTTTATTATATTATAATTCATTTATACCATGAAATTTATCAATTTAACTTACAAATCAGTGCTGCAGACTGATTGTTGCATAGATTTCCATAAAGTTAAACTGTAATTTCAGTTACGGTTGTCAAATACATCTCTAATAAAAACAGATAGTGACAAGCTGTTTGAAAAACAATGTTTTAGCATCACTTTATATCATTACTTTTTTACTTTACATCTTATACTAACAGCAATTTTGGTATAAGGCAATGAAAGTTCAATGATAAAAAGTATAGTAAATGAAAGCTGGAAATGGTTAGCAGGAAAGTTTTAAAGAATAGCAGGTTAGGTTAGGTTAGGAGTAAAAAGATGGAAGTAATGAAAATAAAACAAATTAGTTTTGTTTTTGGAGAATAATGTGATATAGCAAACTTAAGAATGTATGAGGAATGAATGTGTAGTACAAACTGGCAGCAAGTTGCTTAACTTCTCCAGCAAAAAAATACTATGACACTAGCTCAAAGTTAAAAAAATGGTGCAATTCCATCTATTATGAAATGTTATTAAAAAATAACTTTTATATTATTAATTATTATAAAAGGCCAAATTTTGAGGGTAGAGATGAGTTTTAAAGGTACTGTAATTGCCGATAGCGAGTAAAATTTTGAGATTTGCAAAAACATATTAATTTCAATGTTCTTTGAAACGAGCCTTTTTTGACTAAACTAATTTAAATTCATTAATGATTTATGTAGCTAATGAAAAGCCATCTTACAGATTTTCATAGATTTAAGTAATATTGATATATAATATAAAATATAATAAAAAATAAATGTTTTATTATGGCATAAAATTTGTTAATTAATGATAAAAAGTAATATAATTGTTATGACTTGTTTAAAGATATAAAGACATTGGATTAGTTAATTACTTATCCTTATAAAGTAATAATTAACATAATCTATTGAACTAATATTTTATTATTTATCTTAAATTTTAGATTGAAAAATTAATTGGAAGTGAAATCTTTCAAAAGTACAAACAGTTTAAATTGAATGCAGGTAAAGTATAAATATAAGTATAGCATAATTTGTTCATTTTTAAAATAAATTAAATATTAATAAAATTATATTTGTGGTTTGTATAAACATTAAAATGAAAGTTTATTTAATTAATTAATACTCCAGTTTTAATTCTTATGAGAATATAATCAATGTGGTGAAGTTGCTAAACAATATGTTCAACTCCGACCTTACCCTTTTTTAAATGTCACACTATGATTCTTTTTATAAGAAATATAACACTGAGTATCTGAATATTTTTAATGTAAAATTTCTATAAAATGTTGTACTAAAATTAATGAAAATAAAAAAAAATGGATATAACAAATTTACCTTGAAAAAACTTTTGAATACATAAAGAAACACACTACATCTTAATAGCTAAAAGAATTCCACTTTTATTAGTTAAATAATTAATTGATTTAAATTTAATTATTTTTAAGAAAAAGAAATTAATACAATAAAACACAAAAAATAAAGATTTGATGGATGACATAATAAATTGGTTTGTAAAATAGTTTCTCCCACTCCGGCTACAATGGGAATAGTTAATTTCCTACCAAAAGTCGACTAAACAAAAGTATACGGTAGAATTTTAAAATATGAAATTAAAAAAAAATCAGTTATCTTGAAACAAGTGTGATCGTGCCCTAAGAACTTAAACCAGTGAATAATAAGCTGAAACCACCCTATTTATTACATTTTGTAGTTTTCTCTTTCTCTTTTAGTTTGTTACAGTTAGATTCTGATCTTGGTTTTACTTTGTTAATTGTATTTTATTGACTGTTTTAAGACTAAATTATGTTATCGAAGCTCTATAATAGTCATAAATAACTCGAAACCAATGGAAGGCAGTGAAAAAATTAATTAGTGAAATTAGTCAAAAAAACAATTGATATCTAAAGTAATACATCCGAGATGTAAAAAAATATTGTGGCAAGTAAAAATTATAGCACCAGAAGTGAAATTCAGATTTTTTTCTTGGGAGCTTCTCTTGGGTAAAGATAAGCTTAGTGCTTTGAAGCGATACCATGAATGTTTATTTTTTAGATGTGATTCCACAACTAACTACCAGCGTTCAGTTGTTTTACCTATTTTGACCACTGGTGGGCCTTAAATTAATAAAAGCTATTTCCTAAAAGTATAGAACATGTTGCATTAGATATGCATAACATTTTGCATAGCCAGACCTCTGTTTGATTTTTGTTCCCAGAACTATTACATTAGATATAACCAGTATGGTTATACATTAATTAATAGTCTTATTAAATTTGGCTTTAATCATTATCCGCATTCATTTTGCTTTAATAATTATCGGGCTTAGAGATGTTTATATTTGTTTAAGCACTTCTTAGAAAGACATTAAATAATAGAAAATATGCAACATTACAAATACAAGAAAAGAGAACTTTTTGTAATTAATTTAATTTCTTAATTCAAAAAGAAAGAAAAAAATTATTTATTTACATCTTTTATAAATATTTTACACATAAACAAGAAATTAAATTTTGATTAATGTATGCTTCTTGTTTCATTTCATTGTTCCACATATTTTAATGTTAAAAAATATATATAAAAATCATAAATTATAATAAAATTAATGTATTTATAAATGTTAATTTACTATTTAGAAATAGATGAAGACCCTTCTCGTTGTTGGTGCCCAAAACCAGAATGTAATAACATTTGTCAAGTTGAATTGTCTGATGTACCTGTACCAATTGTTTGCTCAAATGTAAGTTTTTATTATATTGAACTTTATAAAATGCATTTTTAATAAATATTTATTAATTTTCATATATATTTTATTATAATTAATAATGTTAATTGTAATAAGATATATATAATTAATGATTGATTAGATTTATCTGAAATATCATTAAGCAAAAATACAAATATTAAGTGTAAAATATAATGATTTTTTTTATGTAGGAAAAAAAAAGCAAAAGAAATTCAGAATTCTATATTATTACAAATAATAATAAATAATGCAATAAATTCTAGCTTTATATTTTGACTATTTAAATTTAACTTATAAATTATGTAAAGAGATTAATAATATTTTATTTACCTGTTTTCATTAATTTATCATTTTATATGTCAACTTTAAACATTTTTATGTTCACTTTAAAGGATTCAGAAGCTCTTATGTTCAGAATTTAAATTATTTCTCTTCAAAGAAAATATCTTGACACATTAGCTGCAACTGTAGAGGGAAAAAAGCAGGAAATGTTATGCTGGACAGTTTTTTTTTTATATAATAAATTAAATGCGTTTAATATTAAATGTGATATTTAAATTCCATTTATTTTCACAAAAGATATTTTAAAAGTGCTTGATCAATAATTTTAGGTTGCTCACCATCATTACATATCTGTAATAGCTAAACAAAGAAAAAAGTATAAAAGTACTTACCATTCAAAATTCTTCATTTTGGTTAACTTCTTCTTCTATCATTTTGCTCATTATTGATGGGAAAGAGATCAATTTGCATAAAAGTTTGAAGTAATGTCACGTGGTATTCATTAACCTAATTGCTAGTAATTTTGAGACTCTGAAGCAGCAGAAAAAATTATGTAAAATGCATAAACTCTAAAAGGAATGTTAAAAATTCTAAATTGTGAAAAAATTGGAATTGAATTTTAGTATTGTGTAGTTTAGCTTGAGAGTAGATGGGATAATGAAACAAACTTCTAAATGTCTGTTTTATTATTTGTTTTTGTACATTTTTTTTTATTTGATATTTAGTTTCATTCTTCTTTTTTTCAAAGTATATCTTTCCCCAAAACCACCATGCTTCTTTTCTTATTTATTATAACCAAAATTATAACCTTTTCCTAAGAGTCCATACTGGAGCAAGTATTGCTTTCATAAGCACTGAAAAGGGCATTTAGTATGCAACGATAGAGTCATGCCAGTCATCTATCTAACACCTTTTGGGGGAAAATTTTTGAATTGAAATAATGTGACTTCCATTTTGCATAGGAAGTTCATATATAGTTAATCAGGGATTCTTGCCTCTAATATTTTTATATCTGGTCTCGTCTTTCATCTATCTAACTCCATTATTGAGATTATGGGGAATTTATTGATCTACAATTTTTTCAAATTACAGCCCAACCAGAGTTAGACTAAGAAAGTGAAAACAAAATGCATTTCTTGGACTGTTAAGAAAGGCAAATTTATAATCAACGTTTCTATTATAATATTATATATTGTTACATGGAGTAATTTTGAAATTTTGTCTGTTTTAAATAAATTTAGAATGTTTTCTACTCATTATTAAATTATGATGTAAATTTTTTTTTGTGTCATCAAAAATCTTAAATTATTCTTTTAAAAATCAACAAACATTTTAATTTAAGTTCAATAAATTTAAATTTTAATACATTTCTCTCAGTCTGATAAATTCTGTTAGATATCAGTTTTATTTAAAATCAAATCGTCAGGTTTTTAAAATTAACTTCAGTGCATAGATTTTACTCAACTAATTTTTGGGTTATGTTAAAATTCTACATCATAAATTAATCAAATACATGAAAATTGAATTGTTATATATGATATTTATCTACTTTTTAAAACTATTTTATTTAATGTGTTTGTTTTATTCTTTAGTGTAACACCATGTTTTGTTCATCGTGTAAAGAATTATGGCATTCCACTCAATTGTGCAAGGAGAAAAAATGCTTTAAGTAAATATATATTTTATGTTAAATCTTTCATTGAACTATATTATTAAAAACTTTGTTTGTGTGAAGACAGTAATTATCTTAAATTATTTAAAAATTTAATTAATCATTAATCATTAACTGTATTGTTGTCTGAATTAACTCAAAAACATTCAACAAGCTATTGTAAAATTTTCTTTTGAATACATCGTTAAACTATTATATTTTATCAATACTTTAGCTAGTGTTGCAAATATTAATGGATTAAATCAACAACTTTACATTATTTACAATATCTGAATTATCAAGTAATAAAAATCAATATTTCATCAATTATATAAACATAAACTGATTCAGAATTCATTAAATTTTTATAAACATTAGAATTAAATTATAATTAAAAATATAAGATAGTGATATCATTTATTTCTTGATTAAAATTTTATGATAAATTATATACTTTATAATTTTAAAATTTACTGATATTTGGTCATATGTTTTTAAGTTGGGAATTCAAACTAAATTTGTTTGTATATTCAAATTTTTATCGCAGAGCATTTCAAAATCATAAATTTTATCAGGATAATCGGAATATACTGTAATTATTTTAAATAAATAAGCTGAACTAAAGTGCCTAACTGTTTGGCTTATTTATTCAGCTTAAAGTGCCTGAAATGTTTAAATATTCAGTTTTTTTTAAACTATTTTTAGAAATTAAAAAATGTAAATATTATTATTTATATTTTAAAATTACTATACTTATTAATTCACTTCCATCTTTATTTTTCTAATGTAAATAATATATTAAAAATTATATTAAGTAAAGTTTAACTGGCTTTATGTATAGGAATATGAATTGCCTTCTATACATATCACAAAGAATCTGCTTTGTGATACTGAAATGTTTATTGAAGTAAAGATTTTGATTTTATTTTTTAGCAGAAAAATTTATTTGAATGTTAAATAAAAATTTGTAATAGATATATATAGAATAAGTAGCTGGATGTGTATGCAAATATGAAAATAATCCAGCAAAAAACAATAAATTTAATGAAAGTTAATGTGTTTCACTACTTTGAACAGTCATTTTCAGATGAACATACATTCTAAAATTGAACAACATATTATCGTTATTCCTTTAAATATTTTGCTTGAATTACTGTTTGGTTTTAGAACATGTTAATCTGAAGATGACTGCTCAAAGTAGTCAAAAATGTTAGTTTTTATTAAATTATTTATTAATTTTTTTGTGTTTGAGTGTCTTATTCTTGTAATAGATATCATATCATCAATATGGTTAATATGTACCAGTATTTACTTTTTTTAATATCAATACTCTGCACTCAGTAATCTGACCGTGTACTAATTCTAACTTCATGTGATCTGAACCAATTTTGTTTGAATTTTTTATTATTATTATTATTATTATTATTATTTGCTCAAAATAAGTTTTATATAATTTTTATTACAACAAGTCACAACTTACAGTATAATATGAAGTATAAGATATTAAAATAGTGGAAATATCATAATTAAATCATATTAAATTTATTTATTTTTTTTTGTAAAATTTTTAAGTTTTTAATAAAAAATAGATAAAAACAAAGAAAACTATTCATTGGATAAAGAGAAAAGATGAGAAGAATTCAAACTTTTCACTTGTTTGAAAATTATTCAGAATACCATTTCATAACTGGATGATGTTGATGAAGATAAAGACCAAGAAAGAACTCTTCCAAGAAACCTAAATAAACATTTGAAATACATTAGCCATTCAATACAATATCTACTTGCCAAGATCTTCTTGTTACAATATCTTCATAGAAAAATGACAAATTGTAAAATTAATGTGTACTACACATTTTAACATACATTTAATATATATATATTTTAATTCATAAATATATATGTATTTGTCATTATTTTAAACTTATTTTTCTTTATATACAAGGGTTGTTCAAAAAGTTCCCGAACTTTATTTATTACAAAACAAAAATACATCACTTACAATTTATTTGTCAGGGTCCCCTTCAAAGTAGTCTCCTCTCCAATGTATACACTTATCCCAATGATGTTTCCACTTTTTGAAACATTCCTGGAATGCTTTTTTCAAAATGCTCATCTATAAGCTCCTCCATTGTTTTTTTTCTATCTCTGGAATAGTGGCAAATCTTTTTCCTTTGAACATGTTTTTTAGTTTGGGGAACAGGAAAAAGCCACATGGGGCCAGGTTGGGTGAGTAGGGTGGGTGGGGAAGCACAGCAGTCTTGTTTTTGACCAAAAATGCACGAGTTCTGAGGGACAAACGAGCCGATGCGTTGTCACCGTGAAAAAACTACTCGCCACTCCTCCAAAATTCGAGCCATTTTCGCTTGATTCTGTTTCTTTGGTGTTTCACAACCCCCAATTAGTACTCCATGTTGACTGTCTGGCCTGTAGGTAGGTATTCATTATGCACAACCCCCTTTGTATCGAAAAAAGGAGTCAAAATCACCTTAACATTTGAGCAAACTTGTCAAAAATTTTTTGGGTAGGGGATGTTTCACCAACCCATTGTGAAGATTGCACTTTTGTTTCGATGTTATATCCATAAACCCATGATTCATCACCTGTTATGATCATGGACAAGGTTTCATCCTCTTCAGCTCAATCAAACAGTTCCTGACAGACTTGAATCTGATGTTGTTNCCCCTCCCGGCTCTTTCAATTAATAAATCTTGTTACTATTTATTAAATTTCATACGGACACTGCAGCTGCTTTATAAAAAATAAAAGCAAAATTATTTAACAATATTTCACAGGATTTAAGAATACATATAGTTAATATTATTCTTATCGCTATAAAAAATATTCGAAATTATTGGGAGTTTTGCTTTTTATTGAAAGTTTTACTTTCAATAAAAAGAAACATAAGAATACAAGGGTTGTTCAAAAAGTTCCCGAACTTTATTTATTACAAAACAAAAATACATCACTTACAATTTATTTGTCAGGGTCCCCTTCAAAGTAGTCTCCTCTCCAATGTATACACTTATCCCAATGATGTTTCCACTTTTTGAAACATTCCTGGAATGCTTTTTTCAAAATGCTCATCTATAAGCTCCTCCATTGTTTTTTTTCTATCTCTGGAATAGTGGCAAATCTTTTTCCTTTGAACATGTTTTTTAGTTTGGGGAACAGGAAAAAGCCACATGGGGCCAGGTTGGGTGAGTAGGGTGGGTGGGGAAGCACAGCAGTCTTGTTTTTGACCAAAAATGCACGAGTTCTGAGGGACAAACGAGCCGATGCGTTGTCACCGTGAAAAAACTACTCTCCACTCCTCCAAAATTCGAGCCATTTTCGCTTGATTCTGTTTCTTTGGTGTTTCACAACCCCCAATTAGTACTCCATGTTGACTGTCTGGCCTGTAGGTAGGTATTCATTATGCACAACCCCCTTTGTATCGAAAAAAGGAGTCAAAATCACCTTAACATTTGAGCAAACTTGTCAAAAATTTTTTGGGTAGGGGATGTTTCACCAACCCATTGTGAAGATTGCACTTTTGTTTCGATGTTATATCCATAAACCCATGATTCATCACCTGTTATGATCATGGACAAGGTTTCATCCTCTTCAGCTCAATCAAACAGTTCCTGACAGACTTGAATCTGATGTTGTTTCTAGTCTGCTGTCATCATGCGAGGCACGAATTTGGCGGCAACTTGCTGCATCTTCAATTTTTCATGCAGGATTTCATAGCATGAACCAATTGAGATGCCACACTCTTCTGCAAATTCCCTGACAGTCAAATGTTGATTTGCATGAATGAGATTGTTCACTTTTTTGATGTGGGGTCATCAGTTGACATTGATGGTCGTCTAGAATGCTCATCATCTTCTACTGACTGCTATCCCTTTTTGAACCAGGTAAACCATTCATAACATACAGTACATTTTATAGCATCCTCACCATAAGCCTTGGTAATCAACTCAAAAGTTTCCATGAAGGATTTCCCAAGTTTCACACAGAATTTCACAGAACAATGCTGTTCTTTCAAAGAGCTTATTTCAGCGGATCTGATTTCTTGCCGAACCCTATGAACACTACTTCACATAAACAGCCGTAACTAATCACCAAAACAAGATATCAACAAATGGGTTGAAACATGTTACTTGGAAGGTTTCCGTAGACACAATGCCTCTAAGCGGATTAAAAAATAACCAACTGGAGGTGCGCTATTCAAAAAGTTTGGGAACTTTTTGAACAACCCACATATAATATCCCTCAGTAATCTAAATGACCTCATACAAGAGTTAGTTCAGATTAACAAAATTGTACTGTAATCTGTTTCAGTTTTTGAAATTATTTTTGAAATGTTACAAATCACTGTATACAGTAAAACCTCTGTAAACTGGACTCACACAGTATTGAATATTATTTTTTCTGGTTTGGCAGGTTTCTGTTTCAAACAGGGTTTTTTTAATGCTGAAAATTGTAGTATTTCCAAGAATTCTTCCCATTTACGCAGGTTGCAGTTATATTAAGGTTCTGTTTCTAACAGGTTTTACTGTAAATATATTTTGTTATTTTATAAGTTACATACAGAATTTTATAATATATTAACTTGAAAGAACGTTTGAATATATAATTCAAGGTTATTATTTTTTGTAATTTATCACATTTTAACATTAAGTATTTTGATCAATTAAAAATATTGTCAGTTTACCTAATTGAAAATTTTGAGTTTTTAATTACATATAATGTGTAAAAAATCTTTTATATTTTAGTTACAATAAAAAAGCATCTTCATTTGTAATTAAAAATGAAATCAATATAAAACATTGTCCCGGCTGCAACATTCCAATTGAAAGAAATGAAGGCTGTGCTCAGATGAAATGCAGATATTGCAAGCACATATTCTGTTGGCATTGTCTCTCTTTGCTTGATGTAAGTTTTTATATTTGTCTATTAATAACTTTATAATAAAGTGTAACTTTTAATATAATTTTAAATCATCTGTCTGTCTTATTCTGAAAGAGAATCAAAATATTTTGTTAGTGGTCACTGCAATATCATATGTTTTGCTGCTCATATTCAATACACTTGAGCATATGTAAACAAATTTTATATACAGTAGAGTGTCGTTTATCCGAATCAATTGGGGACTGGGGTTGTTCGGATAGCTTATTTTTCGGATAACTGATTATGTATGAAAAATATATTAACCTATCCCATGTTGAAATTTTTCTCTGTTGCATGTCACTTTGTGTTGAATTTTCGTCAATATTAAACCTAACGAAAACTTTTTAAAATAATAATCGTGGCTATTGTATCGTTAAAAATTATTTTTTATTTTGTACAAACAAAATAAATACATTGAAAAATATAAAAACCAAAAAAATATACTTTAGAAGTTGATCTAGTATCAAAAACGTTCGATTCAGCACGACGCAGTTCTCAGAAAAACATCACACAAAAGTGCCAGTGCTGCCAGCTAAAACACATACACCAACAAAAAAAAAATATTGGAGTAGCCCAAGATATAGCCAAAGATTGCTGTGCCATAGCACTAGCAAAAATTTAAATTTGCCGACTGGAATGCTTTTGGATAACCGACTTTCAGATAAACGACACTCTACTGTATACATATTTTGCTAACAGTGATGTAACTATTTTTTTTTTCTTTAACTCTTTTTGCCCTGTGGGCACTGAGAGAGCCTCTTTTTAGCAAGCCCATTATGGGTTAGGCCAGGCCCACAATGGGGTGGCTGAGTGATGAGGGGCGGGGCCCATCACCCAGGTTCAAATCCAGATGAATCATCCCCAGGAATTTTTTGGGGATTTATCGATTCATCCGGATTCGAACCTGGGTCCCCATAGTGTGGGCTACCACCTTGACCACTTGGCCATCTGACCATTGATGTAGCTATATTATAATTGCTTTTAAAGTAGTTAAAACTTCATAAATTCTGTGATAGAAATGCTATGGAAGTATTATATAAATACATAAAAACAAAAAAAAATCTTAAAGCTGCCAAAAATTCTATGTTAATGTTAGTTATTTCTTTATGTAAAAATTAATGTATGAATTTATTTTCAAATTAATGTTTTAATTATATAACATTTTTTTCTTTCTTAATTTCATATAAATTGTGTATTACTTCTATTTAAAATTTAACATTTAAAATATCTCTGGAAATTTATTCTGTTTATTATTTTTGTGAGTTTTAATAATGTAACATATATAAATTAAAAATTTATTGGTAAATTTATTAGTAATATTCATCTACAGTTATTTACATGGATATAGAGCTGTAGGTATAGAATTTACTTGGAATTTTATTCTACAGTTGCATTATTTAGTTGCTTAGAATATTAATATAAAAAAAAAAATATTTTTTTATATAAAGAGATTGTCATGCTTTTAAAAAAATTATCTAAATTTAAATAGTATTTATATATAACTAACTACGAAATATTTTTATAAATATGAATAAATTTTATATTACTTACAGGAGAACAGATTTTGTGTAAATTTGCTCTCCCTTAAGTAATATAGCTTTTGGGGATATTTACATAATTATATTATTCAAATATCCTCAAAAGTTTGCTAAATTTGCTGAAATAACTATTTTAACAGCCCCTTGCAAACAGTCCTAAAAATTTACCAGCCTGTATGATGCTATGAAAGTTTTATTATTATTGTTAATTTCTCTTTTAGTTTTTAAAAATTCAATTCTGGATTTTAAACTTAATATAAATATGATTCCTCTTATTAAATTTTTTGCAGGATGATGTATTGTTGAGACACTTTGATAAAGGTCCATGCAAGAATAAACTTGGTCATACTAGAGCATCATTAATTTGGCACAGAATTCGGGTAAGATATATTTCATAATGTTTTAAATTAATTTAAGTCTATATTTATAACATGTAAAACTAATACAATATAATGGTTACTTATTGCCATGACATCTTAGAAATTTATAAAGAAATATAATACAAGAAAAAATGATTTAGAATATATTTTTGTACAATATGCATAATTAATTTACATTAAAAAATATAGTATGTGATTTCTTCATTCTATCTGTTTAAGTTGTTCTTTATTAGATTTATAATTGTTCTTTATTAGATTTATTATACCAACTGAATAAATAGTCAATAAGTTGCCAAGTGTTGATATATGTCACCTTAGTGTGTCTGCAAAGAATCAGCTTAATAACAACAACACGGTTTCATCAGAATCAAAAGATTTATAATTTTTAAAGAATGAAATTGAATTTTAAGAATTCTACAGTCTTTATGAAAGTGTTTTTTTATAATTGTGCCAAACAATATGCCTTATTATTGGTCTATAATAAGACTAATATAATAATTATATACATTACAGTAGAGCATCGATTATCTGAATACCTATCAACCGAAACATCCATTAACTGAAAGCATTCCAGTCGGCAAATTCAAATTTCCACTAGTGCTATGGCACTGCAATATTTGGCTTTTCTTGGGCTACTCCAATATTATTTTTGTTGGTGGGCATGTTTTACTGGCAGCACTGGCACAACCATATTGTATTGTTAAAAATTATTTCTTTATTCTGCACAAACAAAATAAACATATTGAAAAATATAAAAACAAAAACAATTATATTTCTGAAGTTAATCTAGTATCAAAATCGTTCCAATTTATACACATCGAGAGGGTACTTAAGGATGCACCAGTACTTGAATGAGGCTTTTTCTCCCCCATCGTGAGCTATATTCTATGACTTTGCATCGTGAGTGGTGTGTTTTGTTTCAGCTTGTCGGAGAATATAGCCCAAGCAACTGACATCTCCAGATAAACCCAAGAAAAAGAAAGAGTTTTGCTTGTTTTGTGTGGTGTTTTTCTGAGGACTGTATGTCGGGATGTGTTTCGTGCTGAATTGGAACGTTTTTGATACTAGATTAACTTCCAAAATATAATTTTTTTTTGTTTTTATATTTTTCAATATATTTATTTTGTTTGTGCAAAATAAAGAAATAATTTTTAATGATACAATAGCCACAATTATTATTTTAAAAAATTTTTGTTAGGCTTAACATTGACGAAAATCCAACGCAAAGCGACACGCAACAGAGAAAAATTTCAACAGGGGATAGATTAATATATTTTTTCATACATAATCAGTTATCTGAACAACCCCAATCCTGAATTGCTTTGGATAATCGATGCTCTACTGTAGTTATATATTTATTATATTAGTCTTATTATAGCCTAATAATTTGGGCTATAATAAAACTGTGTGATATTAATTCAAAATTGATTTAGTAGATTTATTGTTAATATAATCAATTATGTAGATCATTCATTATACAGTATTCATTAAATAACATATAAGTTAATGATAAAAAAATTATTTTAATATTAATAGACTGTATTAGGATTGAATAATACAAGGTGGATAGAAAGTAGCTAGACATTGAGAAATTGCTATTATTTCTATATTTATAATGCAAAGATGATGAAAATTATTTGACTTGTACCTTACTAAATGGAAATATGGATGTGTACTTTAAAATTTAATGTACGCAACTTCCTCAAACAACCAGGGATTCAATGTGAGTGAATGGCCACTTCTCTGTGCTTCTGCAACCAGACCTTTGGTCCTTAGCTTCAATTGACAATTCTTGATTGTTTTTGGACAGACTGTGGCATGACATTTCTTCTTTCCACCATCTCTGCACAGCAATCACTGATTTCTACACCTCATAGCATATAGGTACAAGTATGGATTGATACTTGTTCCTGAACAGACAAGAGGATGGTCATTTCTTTTGCTACTACACATGCACCCTTTCTTGGTCGCTGTCTACACCACTGATGTGGGAATTATAAAATTCCATTGATTGATGTACATTCACACACAGATTTTATTATAATTGCATTTTTATCACAAAAAATTAAAATTTCTCAAAGTTTAATTACTTTCCACTCACCCTGTACATCAAAACAGACTCCACTAAATAATTATTACATATTGAAAATGGCTCTAAAAGTCATTAAATCATTAACTTACTACAGTATTCACATAATAATAATATATTACCACAATACACATAAAATTTTATTTATGGCACAAAATATAATATCTTTAAGATATGATTATAATCAAGTGTACAACAAATTCAGAAGTTTGAAATTCTGAAGGAAATTGAATTAACATGGTTCCGTTCTAATGCTCTGTTAAAATTATTTGGATTATTTTCAGTATGCTTAGTCTCGTATCATAAAAAATATTTACTGTATGCTTTAATTAATTTTTAAAAATTAAATGTTTATTATTATTGTTTTAGGTTGTGATTACAATAATAGGGCTGAGTGCTTTGTTAGCAACATTATCTCCATTGTTGCTGGTTTCACTTCCATTCCTTTTATGTTGTAAGTGTAATTTATATAGAAGTTTGATGAGATGAATATCTGTAACTATATTAAATATTTGTCAATAAAAATGTAATTTACCGCTTTGTGATAATATTAATTATATTCATTAACATAGGAACGAATTACTCGAAAAAGTAGATAGTTCAAGACCAAACCGACCCTTACGTTTAAGAATATATGCAATAATGCCAACATTTGCCAAATAGGAATCGGCAACTTCATTTAACGATGTCTCGATACGGACATAATAGTACTAGTATTTATTAAAAATAATAATCTCTGTTTATATTTGTAGAGATTAATTTTTATTTTTTATGTAAGGTGTGATCTCTATTGATAATCAGGTAATTTTATAATCATTTTAATTTATATGTTGAAAGCTATCAAATATAAAGCATGAAAATTTATTAACTTTTGTATTACGATATTAAATATGAATAAATAATTTATTACTAGAAAAATTTTTTTTGTTACAAACTATTTTATTTCCTTGTTAAATATCTTTTAACATTACAATAAAATTCAAAATGTTTTTAAGTGAAATGAAAAATAAAATCAGTTTTTGTTAGGATGTAATCCTTATTATTTTACAAATAAAAGTATACTTATGTTAATACAGGTTGAGTATCCCTGATCTAAATGCTTGGGGGTGAGAATGCTTTGTATTTTCGAATATATAATATGATAGTGATAATTCTTCTCAATTCTATCAGATCTTTTTGACATTTTTTAATGATACGTAAGTAACTAAACAGAAAATTAGTCACAGACACATTGTGTTTACAATGTTTGATGGTTTACTGAATCATGACAATATGTTATAGTTGTGTGCACACTTGCATTATCTTTCACAGCATAAACTGAGTCGTAACCTTATCCCAAAGGGTTCCTTGCTGTGAAAACAAAGTTACCAATTTTAGAATATTTTGGATTGGGGATAGTCAACCTGTATTTAAAAAAATAAGTTTAAATAATTTTGTTATATATTTTAAATTACAATTTAGAAAATATAAATTAAAATTGTTTATAACATGATTTTGTTTTTAATGTGAAATCTAATTTAACAGAATTCAATATTGTTTATTAAAAAGTGCTTATAAAACAGTACTCGATTCATAAGAATTCTACATTCCATTTCTTAATTTAACACATTGTCTGTCAGACTGAAAGAGGAAAAATAACTTCTGATCTGTTTTTTCATTATATTAGGAAATTCTTATGTATATTTAACTGAAATATATATTCATATTTTAAATTATTGTCTTTTGAAAGAACTTGACACTAAACTTCGATCTTAAATATTTGTTTGATGAAGTCTCATCTACTCTGAGTGAAACAGATCAACACCAATTAAAATTGTCCTTTCTTGAAAATGGAACTTTGCCAGTCCATCTTTGAGCTAGAAAAATTATACAGGATTCTTTAAAACTTTGTAAAATTATTTAATTTATAATTGTAAACTTACATATTTAACAGCTTGACAAAAAAATACTTTCAATAACATAAATTCCTTTAACTTCATCCAAAGCATTCAATTTCACGCATCGTTTTCAATAAAAGGCAATGTTATTCAGTCTTGGTTTCACTTTCACTTGAAGTAGATGCAACCTCATCACACATTGATATTTAAGATCCAAGTTTGGTCTTAATTGTTTCAAAAGAAAATAATTTAAAATAAATACTATATCCGAGTCATAAAAAAACCTAAAGGTTATTGGATTATATATGCATATTTGTATCAAAGACACAAAAAGATTTAGTTTGTGACTCATTAGTAACTGATTTTACAATCAATAATAATTATAATACCTTGTGTTTTCATGGTGTACTTTTTAAAATAATCAGTAATATTAATAATCAGTAATAATTAAGTAATTTAATTATTACATTTAATATTTTTTATAAGTAGAGATTAAAACATTATATTTCAATATATAATAAATACATCAAATTATTGTTTTTTATGAGATTATTTTTATAACATTCCAAGAGACTTTCAACATATTTCATGTACCTTTTTAACTACTAATGACATTTTTTACTTTGAAATTTATATAAATGAATAATAAATATTAAATGGAATTTATATTATTACAAAGATGTAATGAATTTGATATATTATGTGCATTTTTATTTAACTGTTGTAATTTAAATATCAAAATGTAAGACCGAGAATACAAGTTATTTATTTCAAAAGTTTATTTTTGTCATTCAAAAATTCTCTTTAAAATTTATTATATTAAAAATATTAATCTTAATAATTAAAGAAAACTATTTTAATATATAACATATAACACTTGGCTGTATTAATAATTTATAGTAATTTCAAGTATGATAATTTTTATTGAGTTTAAATTATGTTTAATTTGTATACGTTATTAAATTTAATGTATATATTTTTGTAATGATTTAATTTTTTGTCTTTATTTTATTTATAAAAAAATTTTTTTAAGTTGAATGAACTGTGTATGTGTTTGAAAATATTTTACAATAAAGGCATTTTTCTTTTATATTAATCTTATTATTTTGATAATAAAATATTTATTTATTTTTCTTTTTATTTGGAATTTCTTGCATATTTTTATTTTAGAAGATTTTGCGAGAGAATGGGAAAAATTGAAGCTATTCAATATATGTTAAAATAAAATCAACATTCTAACTCTTTTGCAGAAATAAATCATTCATAAGTTGATTTATTGTAATCTAAGTAAAGGCAGATTTTAATAATTTTTCAATAAAACTACTCATTCTCGGACGTTTTCTTAATATTGGATTGTGATAATATAAAAAGTCTCTCGAGAATGAGTCTACTTCTTGCAATAACACTTTGTTTGATCAAATGAAGAGTTTTATTGCGAGAAGTAAACTCGTCAAAGCTGTAAGTCAGTCATGTTTGTTACTGTTATATATATCACAAGAAACATGTAAATCTTGAGCATTTATTTACTGCAGACTGAAGAGATAAGTTTTGAACTCTCATTGCCATCACCAGGGATGCCCATATGTTCGACATGTCTCCTTTTTGTCACTGTTTCCCTTTTTTCTAATCCCCAAGAAGGCCCCAAACAACAGAAAATTTGTGATTTTTAGCCTATTCTGCAAATATAAAAGAAACTAATGAATGATATTGTTCATTGACCCATGCAACTTCGTCATATGTTGACCAAAATCCCATTCCTTGTTTTCGAGGCCAAGTTAGCCCCAAGTGCAACCAGCGCCAACTTGTGGGAGCACTGATCCAACATTGAATCATAAAGTTTGAAGCTCCTTGTGTAATGTATGATGCTCTTTTTCATATTCTGCAGGCACCGTTGGCCATCACTAAGTCTGCTACTCACAAGTAGAGTTTTCATTTGATTACACTGTACTAATAGGCTGATATTAAATGTAATTTGTACTCCAAAATTCAAAATTACATACATATAAAACAAAATTATTTTAATTTTTCTTCAATTTTAATTATTTTAGCTTTTGTAATGTAATGTACTTAATTTTAATTATTAAACAAAATAATTTTGTTAATATGTTTCTAAACTGTATTATGAATGCTTGAAAGAGTTAACTAATACTTTTACTGTAACATGACAATGTACAGTTAGAGTTTCTGTTAATATTTTACTATTAAGACAGTTCCCAAAATGAAGCAAAATATCTGAACTAAAGTAAATTATAGCATCTTTGGTAATTGGCAAATTGATGGAGGGACAAATCTCAACTCCATAAATAAATTATTACACTCCAATTTGATAACTGAATCCATCATACTTTATTCCTCATTCTGATTATTTTATGATGGATGAAGTTCAGTATTCATTCTATTGGAATTATCCTTAACATGTACCCTCTTATAATAATGNTTGGCATTTGGTATTTGTTTTGTGACACTTCTATTATACTTAACACCAGATATATACACAGACTTAAAATACAGTAGTAAAAATAAATTTATATATAGAAAATGATTAAGGTAAGTCAGACTTCATTTCAGTATCATAAATTTAAAAAAGTTAAAATAAAGTTTAGTTACTTCAAAATAGTTTTCATTTATAAATAAACTCTTGTGTTTAAGTCTCGTTACACGTGAGAAAGTTCAATTTTTATTTTTGATAGTTAAATGGTGCCAAGAGAGATGAATTGGAAAAAATGCTGATGTTTGCTATTGAAGCTACCGAAAGAGGTAATTTTCTTACTTTTTAAATTTATTCATAGCTTTATTCATATCCAATTTATTATTTTCAATTTTAGATATATGCTCCGGTAGTCTTCCTGTTTTATTATTAAGTGATATGTTTGATTGCTTCACTTTGGATCAGTGTGAAGAATTATTTACTTTTGTAGAAAATAGAGTCAATATATGGAAAAAGGTGAGTTAAGTACAATATATAATTTCATTGTTCAGCATAAAAACATCATATACAATATTTTTTCAATTCTAAGATGCACTATGAATTTGGAATTTAATTTTAAGATTCTTTTATGGAGAAAAAAATTTTGAACTAATTAGTTTCGAATCTATGAAAGTCGATTGATAAGTTAGAAAAACAATACAAATACCATGAAGCAAGTAATCTTTAGCAGCTCTTTTCAATCTATTTTGCATTGTTTTGAAGGCATTTTAAATGTTGAAAAAGGAGTTTAAGTGGAACTCTTGATGAAATGCATTTTGTTAAATGTACTTAAAAAATTATAAAAGAAGAGTGTTAAATATAAATATACCAAAGTCATTGTGATAGATGACATTTCAAGCTTTCTTTTTTCACTCTTATTATGACTACGCAGATGAGAGTGAGAAATGTCATCACCTCTTTTCACCACATATTCTTACTTGCTTGCATCTGCATAGTTGCACCGTACAGTTTGCTGAAATAATACTTTAATACACAATTTATCAAATTAGAAGCTAAATGAAGTGTATATATATATACAGTATATGTACAGTATACGTATACAATATTTAGGTTACATATATACCATTCCAATACAGGAACAGCTCTCTCATATTTCTGATACACAGTACTGTATATGCTCCTATTGTAACAAGATTTGGCCATCCCTGTTGTATACAGTGTGTTTTAAATAATTTATTACTTCATGTTATTACTTCATATATTAAAAATGAAATTAAGATAAACAGACAGAATTATCGAATGAATTAATTCATAAATCATGCTAATATTGAAGATCATTGTCATGTCGTGTCTTACCATGACTTGTAAAAGGCGCATCAAGCGCAGCACCCAAAGGCAAGGCTGCCCGATATATAAGATGTGAAACCGAGGGCACCTGTCTCTTTTTTGCCCTGTTTTGTACTTGCAAAGATATATGTTAAATAAATGTGTAATGTGTTAAGCCTTATATCCCTTTACTTCCTCAGACACTATTATTGGGTCAAACTATTTAGTAAGATTACGGGAATTTTATAATCATGATCATTCAATTCAAAGAAGAAAGTTAAGATATTAATAAATATACAAGATGATTCGGGGACCTGACACACATTGTTCGATACTTCGTAATTGCACAATGTAAACTATGTCTTGCTGACTGCTCTGTTGTGAAATAAAGAATAATTCCATTTGTTTTTATTTTATACAGATGTATTCCTCATATCTGTCATAAAAATTAGGAAATTACCTATAAATGCTGCAGAAATTAAATTAGTAACAAAGATTAATCATAAGCACTATTAATTAATTAATGATTTTCATAAAATGTGTGATCTAAATAAAATATTCAAATGGTATATGTTATATATATAAATATATAAAATTCAGCAACGAGTTGCTTAACTTTTCCGGCAACATTTAGTGGCGCCATCTGTTATGGTATTTTATTACAAAGAACTTTTGTTATTTTATAGAGTTATTAAGCACCAAAGAGGATGAACAAAATCGTGCTTTTCGCATATCCATACATATGGGGGGAAAAGCACGAAATTTTTTACATTTCTCATTGTTTCGAGGTCCAGAGTCCAAAAATGTCAACATCTTGGGGTCATTTTTTGTATGTTATATGTATATCCTTCGACCAGAGTTTGGCTAGATTGCTTGTAATCTGGCAGCCGCCAGTTGTGTTAGAATTAATAAAATGTCTATTAAGATGGCGTCTTAACTGTTGAGTCTACGTAAAAGTCGAAGGCCAAAACAGTCTAAAACATTGGATTTTAGTGGAGGAGCTTGCCGTGAAGGTCTTGCATGCAGGCCACCAGCATGTAGCCAATTTCGAATAGTTGCGGCGATAATCCTATCAATTGTCTATGTAAAGTCATTTCTCAACATATATCCAACTTCTGGCCTTTAGAAAGTGTTATTGCAGTTGGACAGCCGGTCAGTAGGCCTATCAGACAAAATGAGTCTCTTGATAATGGATCCATGTCTTGAAAACTGCTGAAAATGTCACTTTAATATATTCAACAACCTGATGAAACGACAGACCATGTAATGATGGACTAATGCCACAATTCGAGCTCTGTCAAACATCGAAATTCTTCTTGTAATGACTGTTTCTTTTTGAAACACAACTTGTGTTTATAAAACGAAATACAGCTTATTACAAGAAAAGCAGAAAACAATACAGAAATTTTACTATTAAAATATATATCTTCAAGTTAATTCAATTAGCATAGATATTTCCGAAGGCCAAGTGATCAAGGCAATCAACCTGCCACCAAATATCCAAGGTTCGAGTTCAAATAAAAAATACCAGGGCTTTTTACGAGTGGTCTATCCTCGTACTTCGACCGGCCGGGTAATATATTCATACTCCGACCTGTGGGCACAAAAAGATTTTTTTTATCAAATCCATCGTGGGTTTGGCCAGGCCCACGATGGGGTGGTCGGGTAGTAGTGACGAGAACCGACATATTCGGGACCGGTCAGGTCCCGAAAAATTCCTAGGGTTTTACGATCCGCGACCCTCGTCACATAAAATACGAACAAATATATTAATTTTCCAGCTTTAAATATATTAAAAATTTCCGGCCCGGATTCGAGTTCCAGTTTGCCGCTTGAAACTCGAATCCTGTCCCTACCGACCAAACTCAAGAATCCCAACCGCCACGCAAAATATCCTTAAACTACTCTCACGTATGTTAAAAATATTTCAATAATAATTAAATAAACTTTATAACAATTCAATATATAAATAAAATTAAAATTATTAAAGAACGATTTGTTAAATTTACTTAATTTCATAAAAAAAATTACGTAAACCGCACCCTGGTGTCAATTTCGTAAATTAGATAGTCGCCTGGATTTTTGTGTTCGGTTTGGTTTAGTCTTGTTTATCAACGAATTATTTTCTTAATAATTAACGAAATGAATCGTATTAAGTTCAAATTCGAGTCTTACCGATCGGAATTTATTGTAAGAAAACTCAAATTTATTGATTTATAGTTTTAAATAAATGTTAAGAGTAATAATTTGCTATTTTGAGTGGATTAAGCAAGAAATCAGTTAATTTGATGTGAAATTTTGGTTAGATTTACCTTAGGTAGCCAAAATTTCACTAATTTAGTGCCAAAATCTAGTGAGGCCATGAAGTCTTTTTTTCAATTTGTGAAGACATTCCTGATGAATTTAAGCATAAACAAACAGGCTGTATTATGTGTGACATTTCTAATATCAAGTGGTTGCTGTATTCAATAGGCAGAAAAGTGACATGAAAACAAACCGCAATGGATGAGATTTTTAAATCGAAGTCGAGTGAAGTGCTAATGAACATACGTAATTTGTCTCTTTTCGGACTTACAATATATACAGTTTCTGAGTTTTGTCGTACGCACGTACGACACAATATAAGATCGTGTAACTTACATGTTTCTATAGAATAGAAATGTAGAGAGACTGAACAATTTAAAGTGTAGATATTTCTTTTATTTCGGGGGTTAAATAACGGATTTTTCCTTGGTGGGCGGAAAATCTGACGTTTGCAATATAACAGATTCTCTGAACAAAGGATGATTTTTGATGGCCTGGACAATCTGTTAAAATGAGATTTTACTCTGTACTATAAAACGATGATGATGTTTTTTGCCACTTTATTTTGTTGGGAGTGATAGAAGCATCACCATGTGGCAAAATTTACGTTATTTGGCAGAAACCTAGCTTGAGCCAAAATCTATATTTTTGAGATTCTTTTGACTTTTATTTGTTTGTGTGATGCAGGATTTACAAATCCCAAATGTATTGCTGTGTAAATGCTACTGTTTGGAAAGATTTCATCTATGTGGTAAATAAATACTTCTTCACTCATACTGGGTGTGTTGTAGGATAAAGATTAAGGCCAGACACTTGAGATGGAATTTTCAATGTTAGTTTTTTGACTGAGATCTTTAGTTAGGTTAAGATTTAATCTCTAAGCTTTGTTTTTTTGCATGACAGAAGAAATTATAAGGTTTTTCTTGAGGTCTCTGTTTCAAAAGGATGAGGCTAGGACTGTCTTCATACATTGCTTACTAGTGGCTTCTTTTTAGAACCATGTTAAATTGTTTGTAATTATTAATAAACCATATTAAAATGAAAACATATTAGAATAGAACAGAGATCTATATTTTATAATTATAGAATAATATATTTGTTTTCCTTTTTATTTTATAATCAGCTTTCTTTGAGTCGGTTGTGATTTTGTGCAATGATTAATCTGTTGAAATAATTTTGGATGATAAGTTATTGTTTATTATTAAAGTTAATTTTCTTTTCTAGGAGCTGGTTAAAAATTGCATTGCTACTGTGAACATCAATCTTCTCGAAGAAAAAGCTCAACAGAAATATATAATTGGATGGTAATATCAATTATTTTAAAATAGTCTAAGTTAAATTTTTAGAAGAATTTAGTCATATTGATAACTTTTTCTGTACATTAAACAAAGAGAAAGAAAATTAGATAATTAATAACGTAGATAAATTTATATTTAATGCACTTAGAAGTAAAAATGAAGTCGGCCAGATGTGATAAGGTATTGTCCTACAATTATGAGATGACCAAGTTCAAATTCCATCCAAATCCTCATAATTTATGATAGACACATTCAGTTTAGAATGTTATTTATTAATATTGTGTGTCAATGTTCCATGTTCACAGCCTAGTTGATACACACAACACACAACTGCTGTAGATTGTATAATGATGTAGGGTTAGTATAAATGATGATTTTAGTTTGAAACATTGTAACTTATATCTAATGAAACTCTGATATATAAAATTGGTACCAGTGGAAGGAAAAACTCAAAAAGTTTTGTTTTCAGTATATCACAGGTATTCAGTGTAAACTTCCTTGGTCACTTGGCACACATCAATCCTGTAGTCAAGTTTTCTGGTGAATTGAACTCTGTGGTGGTTTCTGTGATAGGCATTTGCAGATCATACAAATCTGTGGTAAGGATGACATGTAGACTGAATATTTGATGAACCTCCAGAAGCAAAAATCACAGGGCATCAGGACCATGGAACAATTGACTTTCTCCTACGGATGCATTCCCTTTCCTTTAATTTGGAATACCACTTGTAAATTTGCTGGGTGGATCTGCCCAGTTTGAAAATACCATTGTACAGTAATAACAAGAAAAATGACACAAAATGATCTCCTGTCTTTTATTGTAGCCATTTCCTGATTTTCCTCCACTATATCATAATTCTTGTATTTATTTGCTGTAATCTTTTAAAACAGCCACACAACTTACATGCTGGTAATGACTAAGCAATGTATATAAACTAAATTAAGAGAATATACATATATATATTTCATATACATCGACATAAATACTCCCAATCAAAAATATTTTTGAAATGAAAACATAATATTCAGCTCATTTATTTAAAGAAATAAAAATAATGAATATAAATTGTCTTTTAAGTTTTGCCTGTGATGATTTCATTAACTTCATTTAATGAATTTATTTAGTGAAATCCATTAGTGAAATGAAGAGTGATAAAATTAATATTGATCTTATTACAGGGGAAGTAGAAATTAAATGCAAGAATGCACTAAAGATTATAATTCTTTGTTTATATACTAGAGTTTGTTCTGACAAATTCTATTTTTAAGAGCTTTAGCTAATAAAATATTTCATTTTACCATTTTTTAAGTGTAATAAATGCCAATAAAAAGGTTAACATAGCACAAATATTTAAAACACTTTCACTAAAGCTAACTATGCTTCTGAATTTCTTGTTGCTTTATGCAAAGAGATTTATTATATCAGAAAATTTGTGTAACATGGAATATAGTTAGCATGTTGGATTTAAACTGTGTTCTATTCAAACTCATTTATGTGTTTAGGATTTTTAACTAAAGAAATGTGTCTTAAATAAAATTGCTTTTCATTACATAATCTTTAGCAAAGTTCAGGTAAATTATGTTTTTTTCACTTTTTAATCTTTTCACTTTAATTTTGTAATTGTATGCAGATTCCTGAATATTCCTTTATTAGTAGAAATGTGAAACTACAGCCAGACATACATAGGTAAGAACACTATGTTTCTACATAATCACCAAATTTGTGTAAGCATTTGTTCTACTGGTTAATCAATGTATCCATTCCATCAGAAAAGAATTGTGTCAAGACTCTCTGGCCAGGCAATAATGGCCTGTTGCATGCCCTCCACAGTTGGAAATTGTCGTCCATGGAGATTTTTCTCGTGGGTGCAAAGAGATAGAAGTCACTGAGTGCAAGGTCTGGGTTTAGGGAAGGTGTTCCAAAATCTTCAGTGCATATTGTCAATGTGTGAATGGGCATTGTGCAATCTTGCATTGTCATGTGAAAGAATAACATTCTCTCACAGATTCAGGGTATAGGCAGTTATCTTCCTCTCTATTGTAGAGGCCTTGTTACCTTATTTATTGATATTCCCTTGTAAATATAGAGTATAATTGATAACAGCAAACATAAAATTAAATCTAGAATTAACCAATTTACAGTTTAATATGGCTCTAAAAAATTCTAGTCATTGTTGTTTACAAGTAGTTTGTGTTAAAAATAAAAATTAGAAACTGTTTCCAAAGGAAAAAGTGTAATATGTTTTATGTTTAAAATCGTTTTTAATTTTGAACAAAAGCAATGCTGCAACTATTGCGACTACAAAGCATTCTATAAACAACAGTCTTCGTTAAAAATTTGACTAATTCAAACATCTGTGCCCAAAGAAAATTTGAAACCATGATATGCCGAAGTATGAACAATGCCTTATCATATTGTTATCAAATTAGCAATAAATTTAGATTTAATTTTTTGATATAGGTTACATTTAAAAGAGATACCCTGTTAATTTTAACCAGATTATTTTCTTTAATTTATCAGCGAGAGTGATTTCAAGACGACTATTGATCAAGCTTTTAGAGATGTTCTCAGTGAAGCAATTGTAAGTAGTTTTACTAATTTTGTTGTTATTTTTGGTAAAAAATTTTTAAAATTTATTTATATTGTTCAGTTTATTCTTTGTTATTTATATTTTTTATACATTGACCAATTTTTTTCTATTGCTTTGCTTATGGATAGCTTTAATTGTAGTTTATAAATTTTAATCCAGAAATTAATAAGTAAAAACTTTTATTTTGTTTTTCACTTTCAATTTAATGATTCTTCTAAAAAGTCATTTCCAGAAATTTGGAAAATTTTTTCCTAAACAAATTCATGTTCAATTTTACATGATCTTGAATTGGATTATGGTTTAAATTAAAAAAAAACATATTTAATTAATTTTATGACATTATAAATTAAAGAGAAATTATGACTTTCTGCTAGTGTATTTTTGAGGAGACAAACTGCTTGCAATCATAACATATCAAATTTGTATAAGCACTGAAAGAAGAAAACCAGGAAACAATATTAAACCTTCAGATTAATTGTTTTAATCAATGTTCAAATTTTGAATTTGTTTGAATAAATCAAACTCTCTCATGCAAATTTAAAAATTGTTTCCTAGCATATATATATATAAACAAACTTCATCAACTAACCCATTATACATTAAAGCAATACAACAATCAAAGCCGAATTATCAGGCTAGAACCTCAAATCCTGCACGATGAGCAGGAGTTACGGGTTCTGCTCCAGGCCAGTTCTTTTTTTCCAGCTAATTCTAAATTATTTAATTAAAATTATAACTATTAAATTTAGCACGAGATGGCACCTAACGTCTAACTCTAGTACCAAATTATCTTATAAATTATTATTAGTTTAGCTGGTTCTAGCCCAATAATTTGGCTTTGGTTGGTGTATTGTTTTCTAGCAAATTTACCTGTTTAATTCACATGAAAAAGTTTTACTGGGCTGAAATTTTCAAATTGTCAGTCTATAGATTTCCACTGTTGGCTGTCTATCCATCCATCCTTCTGTCCATCCTTCTGTCTATCCATCCATCTGTCCTTCCTTAATCTTGTGAACGGAGTTAGTTAGATGAAAATTGAGACCATCTTGGAAAGCTTAGAGGCTGGAGGCCCCAATTAACTATATGCAAACTTCTGGATGTAGTCTGTATCAAATCATGTACATGTGACTTCTGGTCTGGACCAGAAGTCACATGATTATTTTAATTAAAATAATAAAAATTGCAGCCTGGCATTGTGATGATGTCACAATGAGTAATTGCTTATTCCTCAAATGGATCTAAAGTTCAAATACCGAATAAAAAGTTTAATGGTAACTCATAAAATAAATGTTAAAAAAATAAGTTATGTACAATTAATTTGCAAATTTAATGTTGCTGTTACTTTTTTATTAATTCTAAGTTATCATTGTTGCTTTATTTATTCATATGTTTCATTGTGAAAATGTAGGGAATTCTGATGATACCTGATGATGACATGTTCCTTTAATATACTAAGTAGACAAAATATTGAGACTTCTAGACAAATGTCATGCATTATTTTTAATTTCAGAATATTAAGATTTATGAAGAACAGTTAAATAAGTTTTGATGTTTAAATTTGCTGTTTATTTTTGTTTACTCAAACAAAATTGTATGAATATAAAAAGTATTATGTGGATTGTTCATTTATCTTTTGACTGTATTAGAATAATCAAAGTAAATTAAATTTGATATGAAGGTGGATAGGATTTAATAATCTTGCTCAGCTCTATCATTAGATAGATATCTGTAATTGTAGAATAAATTATACTTATATCAATTAGTACCTTACATATTTCTAAAATGGCATTATGGTCATATTAAATTATTATAATAGTATACAGTATAGTTCAAATAATTATTTTATTATTTAATAAATACAACTAACCCAATAGTTATTTCAAATGCAAAGTAGAGAGCCAGACTATAAGGATAAATAATTACTAAGCAATTTGGCAGGAGTCAGGCTGTTTAGGCCACCATTTCTTGTTAAATATAATATAGTTGTACCTAAATAAGTGTGGAACAAAGATTAGATGGAAGTCTGGGTAGTGTAACTGGCAAAGTGTCTGTATGACAAGCAGGAGTTGCAAGTTTGAGTTCCACTGTGGGTGATCTTTTCTTCTAGAATATTTTAAAATTAAATTTAATTAATCAGTTTATTTATAGTTGTTATATTTAACTAGAGATGATGGCCTGGCAGCCTGCTTCCTGCCAATTTTCTTATTAATTATTTGGCCTTAAAGCCAGATAAAGAATTTGGCATTTGGTATTTGTTTTGTGACACTTCTATTATACTTAACACCAGATATATACACAGACTTAAAATACAGTAGTAAAAATAAATTTATATATAGAAAATGATTAAGGTAAGTCAGACTTCATTTCAGTATCATAAATTTAAAAAAGTTAAAATAAAGTTTAGTTACTTCAAAATAGTTTTCATTTATAAATAAACTCTTGTGTTTAAGTCTCGTTACACGTGAGAAAGTTCAATTTTTATTTTTGATAGTTAAATGGTGCCAAGAGAGATGAATTGGAAAAAATGCTGATGTTTGCTATTGAAGCTACCGAAAGAGGTAATTTTCTTACTTTTTAAATTTATTCATAGCTTTATTCATATCCAATTTATTATTTTCAATTTTAGATATATGCTCCGGTAGTCTTCCTGTTTTATTATTAAGTGATATGTTTGATTGCTTCACTTTGGATCAGTGTGAAGAATTATTTACTTTTGTAGAAAATAGAGTCAATATATGGAAAAAGGTGAGTTAAGTACAATATATAATTTCATTGTTCAGCATAAAAACATCATATACAATATTTTTTCAATTCTAAGATGCACTATGAATTTGGAATTTAATTTTAAGATTCTTTTATGGAGAAAAAAATTTTGAACTAATTAGTTTCGAATCTATGAAAGTCGATTGATAAGTTAGAAAAACAATACAAATACCATGAAGCAAGTAATCTTTAGCAGCTCTTTTCAATCTATTTTGCATTGTTTTGAAGGCATTTTAAATGTTGAAAAAGGAGTTTAAGTGGAACTCTTGTTACTGGCAAAGCTTATTTGAACAGATATGACTGTGCGTAGTATAGCTGAAAACTTCAGTCATTTGTGAATAATTATGCATTAGTGCAAATGTGGCATGTATATTATGAGTGAATGTTAATTACAATGAATACTGATTGTTGTTTTGGCTAGCAAATGTAATATATCATTGATTTTAAGACACCTCAATTTTGGACAAGTAAGTGGTTAAAAAAAGTTCATTGAGGATTAGAATTGAGGAAGTTGGTACTAAAATTTTTTTCAAACTTGATAAGTCTATTTCTAAGATGTAAATCAATTGACTGTTTTAATTATTGATAAATGATTTAATAATGAATTAATAATTTAATTTAATATAATAATAGTAAGTGATGTTTCAATTAAAATATGGTGTAAAACTATCATGAACAGCATTTTTGGTATGTACTGTTTTTTGAGGTTTTATTAATTATACAATAAGTTATGTCAGATTCAACCTAAGTAAACCTCAACCTAAAAATGAACTTACACACTTTGGTGGACAATAAGTGTCATGCAGGTAAGTGATGGAGAGTGACAACACTTGCTTACAAATAAAAGATAATTTATTAAATTCATTTTTTCCAAAGTTTACGAAGGTTATGACAGAGATAGAACTGCACTCTGATCTCACCTGAAGTTCAGAGTACAGCATTTACCTTGACTTTGTACTCTGAATAATGACTTGACTATGGTTTGTTGAAAAGGAGTTGAAAGGTTCTGGAAGTTTTGCTGAAGGTGGTTCAACATCTTCATTGTTGAATTGTCTCTTTCTTTTTTTTGAGTAGAAAACTTCTGTATGTTACTTTGTGTGACAATACTTGACTTTATCTTACATCTTTTTCTTTCTCTTCAACATCGTGATACTTGTTTAGGGCTAACCAGTTGAGATTGAGGTTGTTGTTCTAGATCAATGAAATCATTTTGTTGTTTTTCCATCTTTGAATGAAAAAAAAAAAAAGACAAAACAGCCAGCTGTCATCAAGGACTATTATTAAAGCTTCTCCACATAGGAATATATGTCTTAATTTGGTGTGACTTTTCATCAAAACCAAGTCAAATTTTGTTAAATTAGATTCATATTCTTTTTAATAAATTTGAATCTTCATAGTTTGTAACTTCTTTCAGTAATCTTTACAGTTAAGAAAAAAAGAAAGTAGTTTGTAAAACTTTATCTTCTTTTTTTTAAAATTAATCTTAAATATATAGATCTTACATATTATACTTTGTTATTTTCCTTTAAATTATTTGAATTAATATTTTTATTTTACAGGATATATTTTTTAAAAATTGTAAAAATCAACTTCTTCGTTCATGTAATGGTAAGCAAAAAGTCATTCTAACATGTTACTTTATAAATTTAATTGTGTTTTGTGTAAGATTTTGCAAGTTAATTTATTATTAATTTTATTACAAATGAATATTAAAAGATAAAGTAATTTAAATATTATGTACAAATTTAAAAATTTTAAGACTAATTTTCCAAATTACAATTTCAAGTTTTACATTTCAAAAATTTTGTCACTGTTTATTAAGACTGTTTGTTGTTTGTTATTTAGCTCTGTGAAATATTACATTCTTCTTAATGAATGTAATATTTCACAGAGAAATGTTGCAAAATATAAATATTTTCTGATCACTCTATCCAGGTAGTTCCAGATAACATATTCTTTTATATATAATACTTTGGTATTCCTAAATTAGTTTTATTATGTCAAATTTAGAACTTAGTTTCTTGGTCATTTTATATCCAATACTCTCTTGTTCTTTTATATATATATACAGTACATCAATATTAAGTATGAAATGGAATTGGTAATACAGAATTGTTATTTAATAACCATTTATTAACTCACAATCATGTGCCATTTTTTAGCACATAAAGGAGATTTTATGCTGTTTTTTCATGTGTAATTGCACTGCACTGCACGTAATTGCTGTTCCTCAAATTAGATAATTCTGCAAAAGCCTGTAATGCATCTTCTCTGCCAAATTTGAATATCATACATTGTTTTGTTTACAGAACAATGTCCTTGACTGAGCTGAAGCATAGGCTAATGTGAAACGAGTTCAACTAGAAATGAATGATGGGAGGAGGGTTGAAGTGTTTCTCAGAAGGACCAGAAAATGATTTTTCTGTATTTTTTGGGCACAAAATAAAGTTGTAAAAACATTTAAATTGTTGAAGGTCATAGTATCCCAGGCTATTTTAGGGAGACAAACATTCAAGGTTGTAACAAGTTGCAGATCACCATGTCATTACATTATCCCTTTATTTCTGCCATCTTGTTTACGTTTGTCTTGCATTCCCTCCTAAGGCAATATAGGTCAGTCAGGCGATAATACTTTAAAAATTCACCAAAAATCAAATTATCATTATATTCATATGAAAAAATTACCAGCATTTATTAATATCTTTTGTTTTAAATACGATATTTTTCAATACATTTTTATTAGAAACATTTATAAAAAAAATTCGCTGATAAAAAAAAAATAAAATGTCAGAACTGAATGACATAACTTGAGTATTTATAACACATTGACTTATTATAGCATAAATGAACTTAATATAGTGATATTATTTCATGAATGTGCTATAAATGAAATAAAAAATTATCAGAAAATAAATAAATCAAGAAAAAAAAGCATTAATTAGAGTTTTTTAAGTCAACAAAACACCATCTGGTGAAAAATATGTAGAACAGACGAACGACAAGACGGTGCCGTCAAGTGCTGACATCTGTTGTCGATAAATTTAATAAAAATAGATTTTTACTTGGGTAACGGTGAATTGTTACTCTCATAGGTTTGCTTAACGATGGGGGTAATGATCGATCGGTATTTTCGGAAGCAAAGGGTTATGCATAGCTGACAAACATTCACAACATCATGACTATCTCTTGTAGCAATCATGTAAGTCCTTCATAACATTGTTTTTAATGACATGAGATCATCAAAAATGATGTCAGAATGGAAAATTGCCTCCTTATACATGTGATGTGTGTGATAATAAACAAAAAATTATACATGATTGCATGTATAAGACAGCAATTTTCTGCAGTGTTTTTTTTTTTTTTTTTTGAGGACACTTGTGATAATTGAAAAAACTTTTTCAATTGAATTTTTTTACACAAATGGTTAGCATGTAGCATAAGGATATCATGGAAGCACAGTTAAGTAAGTCAATTTGGTAAAAAAAAAAAAAATACCCACAAAAACTAGTAGTTGTGAAAAATTGTTGCTACTGCATGTGATCACAGGTTAATAAAAATAGTTAGTTCAGTGACAGCAAAATCTGCCAACAGAATCAAATTGTTGGTAAAAATAAAACTGAAGAGAATAAAAATTAATTTATGGTTTAAATTAACTTTGCATATTCATTGTAAAAATTAAAATTTTTGTGGTTATTAAAAATTTTATAATTCTTTTTAGCTCTTTGAGAATGAAACTTCTTTTATAACACACCTTTGTTCCAGTTTTGTATACAAATTTAGAAATGAATTATGTCTGAAAGTTAAGGATTATCTGTCAATAAAATGAATCTAATTGAGTACATTTAATTTAAACTGCCTATAAAGTTTATACATTTGCATCATATCAAGAACAGCAACAGTCAACTAAAAGTATTAATTATTTTACTAACAAGAAAAGGTTGGGAATTACCAATGCCACTTTTTAATAGAATAGTATATCATTTTATAGAGAGTGCATCTATGATAAACTTACTGAAAGTCTTTTTTCTGCAAAATTCTTTGATTTCATAAAAAAAAAGGCCAAAAAAATATTTTGCTTTATTTAAACATTATAATTAATGTAAATGCTAATAAGAAGTGATGATGGCTGAGTTGTCTAGTTTGTTGGTTCTGCTTTTCAATGTGTGGAAGATTACAGTTCAAGAATAGTTGAGAATTTGTTTTTTCTTTCTTTATTATGTATATGTTTGCATTTCTCTGTTTAAATATCTTTATAGATAATGTATATGATTATTATTAACACACCTAGCAAGTTTTAAACTACATGAAATGGCTGTTTTTTATTTGATTTTATACCAAAGGGATTAATTGACTAAGTTAATCTTACATGAGAAATAACACATAAGATATGGTTCTTATTAGACTGATTTTAATACAAAACTGATTACTGAGAAGAGAATTCTTAAAAACTAAGTAATCAATCCTGTGTTAAATCAGTCTGACGTGAACCATACCCTTGTGTGTCATTTCTCATATAAGATTAATTTAATCATTACAATGAAATACTTAATACCAATTCAATCAATATAATACACGAACAGGTTATTTGGGTTTATGTAATAAATATTAAGACAATTATTGTTCTGTTGATCTTAAACTGTGTACTTTTTGAAACTAAAGGGGTTACTTTTGCCAGTTAAATTTTTTAGTATTACATGCAGATATGTAAGAATTAATTAATAAAAATGATGGAAAATGGCCATTATATGCAATTTAAAAGTTCCTAGTTGAGTTAATAATAATCATTTACACAATCTAAAAAGTTGCTAAAGTGGAGAAATATGAGAATATAAATGGGAAAATGAATATTATTCTCAACAAGCTTCGAAACTGATTTTCTGCACATCAAAAAGTAGAATCAATAAACTATGAAATTGAGTCATAGCTTCTTATCAGGTTAAATAAGGTTAAATCTTTTTTGGCTTTTTTATGGAAACAAAGAATTTCTCTGAAAAAAAAATTTTAGTATGTTAATTGGGAAGACAATCTCCATAAAATGATGTACATTCCATTAAAAAGTGGCATTGGTCATTTCCTTGTAATCTCTTGTAAGATATTTTTACAAGTATGAGAACTGTTAAATACTTTATTCTGCTACAATATAAAAAGAAGTATTTTTCAGTGTTGCAGATAAAAATGTTATTTTGAAAAACTGATATGTTAAAATAAATAATTGTGTTATAATAAATATAAAATTTAAACATATAAACTATTTGTTTAAGATATTTATTAAACTTTTTAGATTTATTAAGAAGACTTTCAAGATCTCAAAATACAGTATTTTGTGGAAGAATTCTTGTATTCCTTGCTAGATTATTTCCACTTTCTGAAAGATCAGGTATTATTTATTTAATTTTAAGATTTGATTATTATTAACTTTTTTTATTTTAATACGAAAAAAAAAAGATAAATATTTATAAAAAATGGAATATTTAATCTAAGGACTTGTATTTAAATATATAATTTATTTGATATATACATGTTTACATATTTTAAATTTTAAAAGTTTGTATATATTTAAGTATTCAATAATATTAAAATATACATCATCAAACCTTTAACTCAAATAACAAATGAATGATCAAACATTAACTGAAGATTGATTATATATTTGATTAAATTAATGATAAATTGAAATGTATATATGAATAGTTATAATATAATAAATGTAATAACTATTTATATATTCATTTCAATTCATGATTAATGATGATGATATTTATTTTTGCTACATTTTTAAATGTCATTAATTTAAAAGTGATCATTAGGAAAACTTTCCAAATAAAATCTATATTATTAATAAGTATACTACTATGAGAATTCTTTTTATTGTTTACTGTAATAATGTTTTACAGCATTATGATTTTGTAATCAAATAAGAGAGATTATTGTTACTGGAGATATTACATTACAGTGGTACTTCAGGATATGAAATTAATCCATTCCGAAACTGAGATCGTATCATTAAAATATCATGAGGTGAATCATTTTTCCCATATGATTACATGTAAAACCAAATAATTCGTTTCAACACGAAAAACACACTCAAATTAAAGCTAAGTTGTACATTAAAAAAAAAAATAACTATAGTAAGGAAAACACTGAAAAATGCATTTTGTAGTTGTAAATGTATAAATAACCATAATAGAATAATAATTGATTAAAAAAAAATGTAGTTTTATTTGCACTTTACCTTTGAGGATAGACAACGGTGGAGGTGTAAACTGGTGACGGAAGAGAGGGAGAAAGGAAATGATACTAAAACTTAACTTACATAACATAATGTAACAATAACTTAAAAATAACTTAACACTAATTTTTTAATCTTTTCTGTTTTATATATATTTTTTAAATTTTTTATTCACTGCTTTTTGCTTTCTTTCCTTCACTTCCACCAGCACTTTCACTGGATAGAGGTCGCTTGGTAAAATATCTATCCAAAGAGGTTTGGCTTTGCCTACTTTTTAAAATGTTTCTAAAATGACTTAGGCAAATGTCATTACTCCGAGCAGCAATACGGCCAGTGTGAACCTTTTCGGGATGTTTCTTTTCAATAAAATCAGTCACTTTCTGATAATACCTCAAGATTTCCTTTATCGAGCGAGATCCTTCCACGACGAAGCAAACACGCGGACTGAGACCAATGAACAGAAGTGAATAAAAAATGGCGCTGCGAACTAATGTAACGTCGTATGGTGAGTTTTTGTTCGTATCGTGGAGCAAAAATATGTTCAAATTTCATGTCGTATCCTGAAAATTTCGTATGCTGGGGCATTCATATCCTGAGGTACCACTGTATAATTATGGAATGAACAGTGACAAGATTGCTCAGAATAACAATTTATTAAGTTAATTAAAATAACTTCAAAAATAAATATAAGACAAAAACAAAAGCAACTTTCACATTCTTAGAATGAATAACAATTAATATTTTAATATTTAAAATAATTATTATTATTACTATTTTAACAATACAATATTTAAATTAAACCTAGTCTAATATCAATGATAAAGTACAGTGCTGTACAAAAATAATGGATTATTATAAATATTAACTCTCTACAGTTTTCTTGTAATTAACTGTTTAATTACGCTTATTAATAATTAACTCAGTAATTGCTCTTTAATTAATATTAATGTAGAGAATAGAGTCTTAATTATATTGATTTGGATATAATTATGACATGAATCTTCCAATAGATTTGTTAAGGTGTACATTTTATTTCCCTGGGAATATACCTGTAATAGAAAGTTAGTCAATCTAAAATTATGAATTGTACCAAAAAAACAAAATGCTTAAGTTATTTGAAAACTATTAATTATTAAATGAATTTTAAAAGATCCATTTGTAGTAACTTATGCTGCTGGAATAAATTTAAAGAAATTTTTAATAATTTTAACAATTGCTATTTTCTATTTTTTTTTTTTTTTTAAATTATCATCATTTGATTCATTTGTACAAAATTAAAATTCATTTATTAGGTTTAAATATTATCAGTGAATTCAACTTGGACAATATAACATCATTTAGTAGAAAGGAAGATAACAGTATTGATGAAATTTCTGGAGATAAAGATGAAAATATGGAAGAGGGAGAAATGGACGATAGTGGGTGGTATGTCAAGAAATTTTATAATAATGCACAGTTGCTTAGATTATTTATTTTTGCCAAAGTATTATTGATAAATTTCCTTACAGTCCAATAAATGTAGATTATAATCTATATCGAAAATTTTGGTCTCTACAAGAATACTTTCGTCAACCAAATCTTTGTTACAACAAAATTTATTGGAGACAGTTTGCTTCTGTAAGTATTAATTTTAAATTGTTATTTTTGTAATGGAAAGTACAAAAATTTTTAAAATTTTATTGATATTTCTTCTATTTGTATTTCATTATTGAACGGGAATGACTTCAGAAATGTTATATCGTTTAATTTTGAAATATCTTTAGATTGTCTAAAACATTCATTTCTTAACAGAGTTATCTTATCAGCATATTGATCATATTCATGTGAGATTTGGATCTTTGGATTTGGCTGCGATATTTTTATATTGATTTAAATCTCCTCTCCTCAATTGCACTCATAGGAGAGAAAGTTTTATCTTTGAATGTATTTAACGGGGCTAATTATGTCAACCAATGTTTTGTTCTTTCCTTGAAGTCACAAATATTACTCGTTTAGTTTTCCTGTAATGTCAGAAAGTAAAGCAAGATCAAGAACCCACTTATCATCTTCCAATTGAGGAAATGATTTGTTAGCTGTTGCGATAAACTTATTTATTTCAGATAAAAGATCCAAGAATCTTTTTAAAACTTAGCACTGCTCAGCCATCTTACACCAGTGTGAAATAGTAATTTCCCAAGATCAGATTCACATTTTTCTATTAATGCTCGAAATTTTCAATCTTTGCGAACTGCTTCCACGACTATAATTAACTATTTTGAATGTTACATTCATCACATCGTCTGAATTTGATTTCTTTGGACACAAATACTGCTGGTGGATAATACAATGGTAGTTAATAAAACTTTGAATATCATCACTATTTTTACAAAGAGTTATAAGCCTATTATGCTTCCCAATTATAGCAGGCTCTCTATCAGTCGTTATAGACACCAGTTTCTGTATTGAAAATTCTGTTATATTTATAAAACATTTGAATAAATNTAGAAAGAAAAAGTATTTATATGTTTATAAATAATTTATATACCATATAAAAATTATATAATTAATTGTGAACTAAAATTAAAGTTCACAAAGTGAAGAAAAAGTTTTTTAAATGACAAAGTAACTCTTATTCCAACAGAGCTTTCTTTGGAAGCTGCTGTCAGAATCCAGATTTTCTATCCTCTTTTCAACTCAACCAGAATTGCCACTGTATGAACAAATCATATTTACATTATAATAAACAATTGTATAAAAAGTTCTATTAAAACAACATACTTCAGTTATAATGATGATATGATTGGGTAAAAATCTTGAAATAATGAAATAATTCAAAAATTTTTATATTTTGGATGAAAGGCATAATTTTATATATTTTTGAAGAAGTAGTGTGCTTTGTCTTATAAAATGGATTATAATCATTATTTTATAAAGTACGTTTAAAATTAGATTCATACTGGCATAAGAATAGCTATGTAGTAGATATGAACTGTAAGTTTGTCCCCTTTTGGCTAATGTTCGACAATTTGTTAGGAGTTTAGAATATCTCTTAACTTTTGCTTAACTTAAGTTCATTTGACCAATTGATTTTTCACAACTAGTGTTTGAACATTGTTTAACCAATTACATTCTAATTACATTCTATTGTCACATGCTATGATGTGGACAATGTTTTGTTTTGTTTTCTTCATTCTTGGTGGTTTGTATGATAGTATAAACCAAGTTTTAGAATTTAATTTTGAGTTTAAAAATTTGATGATAATTTGTCAGAATTCTCAGAAACAGTAATTAAAGCTGTTTTTGATTAGAAGTAATGTCAAATAATGTCAAGGAACACTTATTTTTCACGTTTAAGAAGAAATACGTATACGCAGTTGTTTAGTTTTTGAAATTTTTAGTTTTTTATTTTATAGAATTGATAAAATAGTTTTATCATACTTTTAATGTTTCTTGTTATGCATCTAAAGTAAGAATTGTTTTAATTTAATAGTATTCAGCTGACGTGCTTTCAGCATTTGGAAGTTTTAAACTCGACGACATCAAATCGACTAAATGGAAGCTTTCTGAAGCAACGGCTTCTAGTACAGGGAAACCTGTTTATTTTGCAAAATATCTAACAAGTCAAAAGGTGAGATATGGTATTTGATTATGGTACTTTTTGTATGTTTTTAAATTATATATAGTTATTGTTGTATGCACAAAAGGAATATAGATTAACTGAATTAAAAGTATAAAATATATGTGAAATAATTACATTAATTAGTTCATTTAAGTTTTGAATTATGAACAAAACTGAATAAAATATTACAAAAACATTGGATACAACTTATTTATAAGAGTGTAAAAGCAATGATTTTATATATAGATTGCTCAAAAATATATAAACGACTGTATTTACTTGAATGTAAGACATGCTTTTACATGTTTAACATAGTATCTCTGAAAATAGGACGTGTCTTAGATTTATAACTAGCTTCTCTAGTGTCATGTATTTTATTCCTCTGTCAGTAATTTCATTGCATCATTTTAATAATTTTGTTAGACCTATATTCATAATAATAAATATATAAGAGGACAAATTAGCTCAGTCTTGTTAGTCTATTACAGTAACATAGTATGCACTTGGATGAAAATTCCAGAGAAAGTTGTGTAGCACTCATTGTAGCTTTAAACGACATTGAATATGATTGTGTGGAAACATGCAAACATTGAATCCAGTATCAATTAATTAATTAATTTAAACTACTTCTAATTTACTTAAATTAAAACTCAGAAATGTGACTAAAATATTAATATTGATTTGGAAGAGAGTAACATGGCAAGTGAAGACGTTTCTGACTTCCTTACTTCAGAATGTAGTAATAAATAACTTACTTTTCTTGTAATAAATACTGAACATTTATTTAGTATCTGTTGTCTCAAGTTGTCTGTTTTTTCAAAAACCAAAAAAATTGTGANGTAACATCAAATGCTATCCAAGCATTTTTGGCTCGAAAACAAGAAGAAGAAAGACAAAAATGTATGTATAAAGAAATTAAATATAAATTCATTGTCACTTTGTTTTATATAGAAAAAAGAATAATTATTGAAACTGTCAGGAATTTTTCATAATGAATTGCTTTTGATCTATGAAATTACTAACAGCTAATTAACAAAAAAATAGAATTAATATATTTAATTTTAACATAAAAAAAAGTATTTGAGAACACAGAAATTTCAAAAATGACGATTAAGATTAACAGATTTAAGAACTGTAATAATAATCATTTTGACAGATTTGAAAATGTTAAGTTATTGAATAAGTGCATAATAAGAAGAATAATCAATTTTAAAGCTAACAAAAATACAAAGTATTCTGAAGATATATTGGAATGCAAAATGATTATATAATGAAACATACAGATGGTTACAATTAAACTGACCCTATTCAGATCCCATTCTGCTTATCAGATTTTGATGAAACTTGGTATATATGTTACAGTGGCGTACCATGACAGTTGATGATAGGGAAGCTGTGTTTCTGTAATAAGCCAACTTCCAGGGGCAATCAGTTAATTGCACATCAGTGATGGTCTAGATTTGTATTTGTTTGTTAGATAAGCCAGTAAAACCATAGACTTCTCTAAATGTATTTTTAATATCACAATTACATTCTGAATTACTAGCCATGATATAAGGGTTAAAATTAAAAATAAAATTATAAAAACTTACTTGGTGAAATAAAATGTGTGGTGGATGTACAGTACTGTACATATCTGGTACAAAATGTTCTTTAATTGTATGAATATACTTTTAAAAAAAATTATAATTAAATATAGCTTTGTAAAGAAACGTACATAAAAATATCATAAAATATTCTTTACTTTTTAAATCTTAAAACAATCCACTTAGTCAAATAGCTCCCTACCAGTGGCTAATGGATGGAATCAGAGTAGGTTGCAATGCATGCATACACACTGACTGCCAAATCCCTAGGGTGCTGATACTGGTCAATGTCAAATGCCTCTTTTGTCGCATCACTAGTATACCTCAAAGGATGTGACAGGGTTGTTGAAACTTAAACATTTTTCTGTAAAATATAAATATGTTAAACTTAATAGATTTGTGGTGGTGTGGAGGACAAATAAAAGGATGACAAAAAAGTAACTATAAATTAAACAGGATTTTATTTAACTACGGTTATGTGGTCCTTCTTACACCTGGTTTGTTTACACTAAACACACTTGATCCCAAACTATAGTATGCACATAAGTTCGACACCGTCCGACATATTCTTTATGCTTTCACAGGCAAGAGACACGTGTTCGCAACAATGAAAATTTATGGTTTGAGAGATATTACAACTAACTTAAATTACCTTAATCTAACTTATATACTAAGGAAGAAGGGTGAAGAAATTAAGAGATATGAAGAGAAGAGACAAGTATAAAGGACAGATTTGTGGGGGTACCCGGTAAATTTGGCAGTCTCTGGTCTTCTCTATATTGGAACTTGAGTCAATTTCCTTCCTCTCGTTTCCATTCCTTGAGAATTCAAAGCGTTCTTGAAGCCTTAATCTGGGTGTTCTTCTATTTCGTCCTCTCACAGACAACTTCCAAGCCTTCTCCTTTTGTCCCACTAGGCAACAAACTTTGGCTGGTTCTTTCCTACAGTTGTTCATCTTGGAAGCTGACCCAAAAGTATCTTGTTCGTTTTTACTGATGGCCTCAGGGCTTCTTAGTATCCCCTTTGTCTTCTCCCTTTGTCCTTAGACAAAGGTTGTCCCCCACCCATAGAAAAAGAATAGGTTAGAAAGTTCTAGAAACAGACATTAAAGACAAAGGAATTTAAGAAGAATAAAACTTATATCTAACCCTATGTACAAAGACATGGCGTACTGCCACAGATTGTCCGTTGTTTGTTTAATTTGTTTTATGACCAAGTGTCCACAGAAATTTCCAAAATTTACTTTTCAATCACTCTCATTGAACTGGAAAAATTTCTGTCTTTATTACATCTAATATTATGAAGAAATCAGTCCCCACTGTACTCAGCTAGAGATTGGTTCGGTTAAGCTTTAGTTCTTTAGTTTAGAACTTACAACCTCTTGCATCTTTGCACTTTTGCTTGTTTTTTATTTTGATGATAAAATATTCAAAGTATTTTTAAGAATGATTTATTAGAAAAATTGCCTGAGATCTACAGCTTCTTTGAACCACCATTCAGCCCTATATATATCAACTACACTACAGTACATAATATACAGCAAGTTGACATTTAATGTCATTTCATTTAACATCAATTATTTAAGGGAAATCTGTAAAATTTTTTCTTGCATAAACTTTCCAATCATACAATTCAGTCAAAATATTTTGTCAAAGCAAAATTAAAATAACATCATTTTATGATGATACTCATCCTCAAGATTTTAATTTGTGAAAATGGATGATGATGATTTTTAGTACAAACAAATTTATTATCAGATAATAGTTTTTTCCCTTGCATTCAGCTATATAAAATAGATCGTTTATGATATGTTTAAATGTGAACACTTCAATGATTCAAAGAATATTTCTATTGTTCAATGAAAAGCATTGAACCCATTTTTATTTTTCTAAGAATGAATCAGCTTTTTGCTGGTTGGTTTTGATTATATTATTGCCATATCTAAATATTATTACTTATTGGAATTATATTTATTTAAAATTTAATTTCAGCTGTTGGAATTGGAATTGAGTGACAGTAATTTTCGTCGTTATGCTCTTGTGCAGTTTTTGATTCTTTTCCAATATCTTCAGTCGGCAGTAAAATTTAAACAGTAAGTAAATTTAGATATTAATATGAATACAAATTTTCTAAATATCAGGTTGATTTAAAAGTTCCCAGACACAGACACGAGATAAAAACTTTATTGACACTAAAGCACAAAGACATGGTGATTCCTCAAAATAAAGACCATTGTTAGCTATGGTTTTGACTTATTTTTCTGCTAGTTGATGAATTCCTTAGAAATACCACTTGGCTGTTTTCGATGCCAAAAACTCATGAACCCCATTCTCAACATGCACTATATTGAAGGAACATCCTTGCAGTAAATGTGCCAATGATCAGAAGAGGTGAAAATGTGATGGAGCAAGGTCAGGGATGTATGCTGGATGGAGCAAAACTTTGATCCCCTCTAGCTCCTTTAACTTTTCTTGGACCACTCTAGAACAGTGTGTTGGAACATTATCGTGATGCAGCAGTGTATGCTTTCAATTAAGTAATGTGTGCACAGGACTTCAAACACAGTTCCAGTTGCTTGGCATATAGATGACTGTCCATGGCCTAGCCATTAGGAACCAGCTTCCAAAGCACTGAAGCATCCAGATTCCACCAAATGCATAACATGACTTTTTGTTTGAACTGTCCTTGTTGAACCACTTGTGCTGGCACTTCACCTGGTCAAAGTCGCTAGTTTCCTCTGTTAGGGTTTTTGAAAAGATCATTTTTTATCTCCCGTTATGATCCTGCTTCAAAACCTGTTGTCTTTTGGATTTTGTAACATATGATTGCAAACTTGTGTCCTCTTTTGTATATGCTGTGCTGTCAGTTTATGGCATACTTGTCGAGGTCTTCTGCTATGAAGGCCAAGGTGTTTCAAATGCTAAACAATGGTTGATTGGGAAGCCCAGAATTTGGCAGACAGTCTGCAAGTGCTGCTGCCTGACTCCTGTTGAACAGCTTGGAGCAGTGCTTCTTTGTTGATGGTTGTCCAGACTGAGGTTTATCTAAAAGGCTGCTGTTCCCCGAGTTGAAGTGGCAGAACCATTCAACTGCAGTTGTCGTCAGGCCTGGATCTTCAATTTTGCAAATTTTCTCTGCTGCCACCTTTGCACTTAACTCTTGTTTCCAGTAATGATGCAAGATGCCTTGAATGATGAGTTTTTTGTCATTTGTTCTTTTATGTGGTAAACAATATTCTCCAAAGGAATGAACTCAACATCTGTATAAAATGATGGTACGTGTGTTGATGATGATGCATAAGCAACTCATTTACATTCATAGCAGTGTTGTCAGTGCTAGAAATCTTTTTCACAAAAGTGATGCCAGTGTTTGGGAATGTTTGAATCACCTTGATACATCACAAATAGCTAAGAAATTATCACTTTTTAGTGTAATATTTTGATACAATATATCAGCAGTGGCCAAACTTATGACAATAGAAGTCGCATACTGCCTATCAGAAATACAATAGAGAATATGACTCTTGTGTAACAGTGCTTTATATTATATATAGTTATCACTGTTCTAAAGTAAATGTTGTTACCTTATGTATGATCCTGGTTTTCCTTTGTTTTTTTTGTCTATGCCCAAGTGGTTCACTGGGTGACAAGTCCCACCAGAAGTGGAGACGTGCCTTGGTGAAAGGTTTAGTGTCATGTAAGTGTAGACAGAGAGTGACTCATTAAAAAACTAGTTCTAAAGAAAGTAATAAAAAAGTTCATTGGTGATCTCAGGGATACTATGATACTATGCATTCTACTTTTATGTGCAATTACTACATGACATGGAGAGAGAGAAAGTTACAATTGAATATTACTGGAAATAGTAATTCCTTTTGGTATGTTGGTTTCTTGGGACTTTAGTTTTCCTTGCGTAATTTCTGCTTGAATAGCTCAGTTCTACTGGGATAAGTTAATTGGTCTGCACATCATACACATTCTTGTTAGCAATGACATGGATAGATCCTTTTGGATGTTCTATTCAGTGTGATTCACTGATGATTTGATGATGACAACAATGACAACCTCTCTTTCAGGTTGTGGTTTCCTTTTGTACACTTATTCTTTGTCAATCTTAGTCACTCTTTGATTACCATGATCAGTCTGGCAATTTACTTTCCCACAGGAAGGTGTTCAATGTTTATTCACTGTGAGGATGTCAATACTTTTTGTGGTGTCCTGTCTTGGAGAGGTTATAATTAACTTTACCAAAAGATATTTATAACCTCAGTAAGGTAAATATGAGGTCCAAATTTTTCTCGATAGAGTTGAAAATTGGGACCTCACATTTACTTCACTGGTATTTTATAATTAGCTAGATAAACGTTTAATTTGTTTGACTTTACAAACACATTCTTAGCTTTCAGTTGCCTGTTCAAGATTAAGTTGTGATTTATACTTTCAATCCATGTGTAAATTACAACTACAGGAGGCATTATATGTCTGTTGTGGATGTTGGCATGAATTTTTTGCTCTCTGTTGTGATCTGACTGATTTTGTTCTCTTCTTGGAAAATGACAGAGTTCCCGTCTCAGAAAAGGAAAATGTTTTCGCCACTATCTCAAGACGTATGAACACAAAATATAAGGAAATGAATCAGAAGCAAGGAGAATGTCTCAGGTGAGTCAACGGAACATTTGATCTTGTCTTATAAGTGTCAAAGAGGAGATTAATGTTCAAGAAGAAATTAGACTTTTGTTGAAATTGCAAGCCTCTTCAAGTAGTAAATTACAAGTATTTTTCGGAGCATTTAGATAGAATGCAAGCATGGATTGTGAATATAAATACTGCTTTGGTTGATCTTGAATCTAGTCTCATTGTCTTTGAAATTGACAGAGAAAATTGTTATGTTAAAAATGACAAAGCAAATATGGAAATAAATGTAATATGTAATAATTTGTATGAAAAATTAATGAGATTAGAAGATAAAGAAAGAAGGAATAATCTAATCTCAGGCTTTGAGGATAATGATAAAATGGACGATTGTTTATATAAGGTTAAAAAACTATTTAACAATAATTTATAGGTTACAGATGCCAATATTAAGCATGCTGTTAGAATTGGAACATTAAACCAAATTCAAAAAGATTGGTTATTCGTGAGTTGTTTAATTTTGAAGATAAATTAAAAGTATATAAAAATATTAGTAATTTAAAAAGTTTAAATATATTCATTAATGATGATTATTTGACAAATACTAGAGATATCAGAAACAAATTAAGTCCCTACTGTAAAAAGGTGTGTTTAAAAGGAGCTAAGAGTGTTAAATTGCAGTACAATAGATTAATTGTGGATAATAAGATATTTGCCTGTAATTGCAAAAGTGAAATTTTCCAGACAGATAAAGAAGAATCTTTTTAGGAGCATAGTTGATAATGATAAAGGACATGGTGGATGATCAATATAAAGCCCTGTACTTGGATAATATGAAACTTCATTTATACAATACAGCAGGTTTAAATAATAAATATTGTTTCTCTAATTTCTGCAATTTGATATATAATATGGATATATTCTCTCTAGTGGAAACTTGGTGCACAGAGATTCTGAGAGAATTTGTAGTAATTTAGTATGCAATGCAGTATATGAAACTTGGGAACATGTATTCTTCCATTGTGTGAAATTTGATGCAAGTAGGAAAAGGTATTTGATGAGATTTAAGTTCTGGAAAGATATAATTTATTGTGTTTTTCAAAAATCGATTTTTATTTTGTATTATGTTATACTAAGCTATTAAATTAACTTGTTAAATAGTATTAACCTTAGTTTTAAGTCACAGTTTAATATCCCTTATGTTGAACTAAGGTTCATTGAATAAAGAATTGAATTGTATATCACACTACATAATACTTGGCAACCTTATAAATATATTACTTATTTGTTCTAATTGTATAAGTATATAGAAACTGCAGTAAGGGTGTAGTAGATCTTAATAAAAAAGAACATTGATAATAAACTATATGGCAGGAAAATTAAAACTCATAATCAACAGATTTCAATGTTAGCCAGTGTATGACCATAATTAACTGGTTAACATTAATATCAATTAGTGTTATTGATTCTTGTCTGTATGGCAGTGTTGTTAAAATATGATTTACACGTGCATGTATGTGTGTATATGTATCATGACTATAGCAAAATTGACTTGTAGTAATGTCATAGTTAAAATAATAAGGAAGAATCAAGATTGATCCAATAGGATTTTATTTAAAAGGTATGAATATTCTTCTTTGCTTGATGGTTGTATGTTAAATTTTTGTTAGTTTGTTTGACTGTATATCCAGAAATTAATTAGATACTGATTTCATCAAAAATTTTGAAATGCTTAGCTAGATGAGGTCAAATAGATGATGATTTTAAATATTTCTAAGCAAATATTTGGTTTAAAAGCATGAAAAACTGACAATAAAATGACAAAGTATTTTTTCTTCCTTTAGAATTAAAATATTTTTTATACTGTAATTTTGATACGTGTTAATTATTTTTATTGTTTAATTGTTGTTATAATTTTAATTAAAGCTGCAATAAAATTCAATTAAATTTTTAGTTTTATTTGTTGCTTAATACTTTTGTTAAATTTCCATTAAAATTTTATAAAATTATTAAGCAGTTAATAGTTTTAGTATTAATAGTTTTCTTTATTATTGAGAGATTTTGTATAAATTAATACTTTATCAGATTTTATTTTCAAAAGTAAAATCCTACAGTAGTATTAAAACAACATTAGTCTTGAATATATAAATTTCATACATTTTTAGTTTTGAGAAGCTATTACTTAAACTTTATATCATAAATTAATATGATTTTTTAGGGATTCGTACGTGCTGACAGAAGAACAACTTGCGTGGATTAAAGATACCACAGAAAGGATATACAAGGTAAAAATGTGTAATTATGCATGTAGTACATTATAAAATTTAAAGCTTATAATTTCAGTACAGTAGATCCCCCTATAAGACGGTAGATACGTTCCGTTCTTTATGAATCAATTTTGTAGGAATCATAGTTTACGGACTACGGCTGTTTGAAAGGTTTTCTTTCATAAAATTAATCGATTCTAGACTAATTCGACTCAACATTTCCAAAATACGTATATTTTTTTAAAAATAATCCGTATAAACTACGTTATAAACAAAAAATTGTAGGATTGCTTACCGAGTGTGTACCGTTCGACTACGCCCGTTGCTAAAGCTTGGTTTCGTCGCGGAACAGCGCATCAAACCGCGGCCGCGATTTCTGATATTATTTTTCTGCGAAAACTTCGTTGACCTTTGGAGACATCCTTAATATAAATAATTTTTATGGCCGTTAAATAAGAAATGTTTCTTTCACAAGAAATGTATAAAATTACAGTACTAAACAGACGATAGGTCGCCTAACTCGCCGTAGCGTGACGCTAGACGGCGAAAAATATATATTTAATTATAATAAAGTTACAATAAATTAAGTTAATATATAATTATATATACAGTACCTAATTTATATATAATTAATATATAATTATATGTACAGTACCTAATTTATATATAATTTATATAATACTGTCCAGACGATAGAAATCTCTCCGTAGCGTGGCGCTACGGACGGCAGGTAAGTAGTTCGGCTGCCCGATGACATTTTACGTATTATAGGAGTTATTTTTACTGTTGTTTACGGATAATGCCACAATTTTTATAGGAATCATAACTATAGGAAACGGTTTTATAGGGGGATCTACTGTAATTTAGTTTATCATTTACTAATTTTCATTGATTCTTATATTAAAATAAAAAATTAAACTAATGTATAACCAGAGTAGAAAGTGCAATTAATCCACACAGGACATAACTATCAAACAAAATACAAATATAACGACAAAGATACAATGTCTTATATTTAATAAAATAAAACATAAATACAATTTTTGATATCTTTAATTTGTTAAATTTTCTATAAAAGAAATTGATCTGGATGGAATTATATTAGAATAGAAAATAAACGATAATAATAATGCATTGAATTTAAAAATTCAATCTTTGAGATTTTACTTATGAAAATTGTTATTAAAGTGTAATTAATACTGATTGAAATTATTTTTGAGGTGGAGTGATAGTGAAGCCTCGTCTAAGTGACTTACAGAATCATGTTCATTCTCAAAATCTGTTTGATCAATTTTGATTAAACTTTGCCATTTTCCGTTAATTATGACAAGGAATCCAAAAATGTAATGAGGGTACATTTAAATGTAAAAAATAGGAGTCCATTTTTGACCTATACAGAAATATTAAAGTGACAATGTTTGTGCTTTCTGATGTGAATGAGCATGCCTAATGGAATTTAGGCTTAGGGGTCAAAAATAAAAACAACATTGTGTGTGCCTGACAGAAAATAGGCACAAAAAAATGAACAAAACACAAGAGACAATCCAAGAACAAAGCAATCGATGGTGATTGCTTTGTTTTTGGATTCTCTCTTCATATTCATCCAGTGCAAGGATCATCTCTCTCATGGCCAACTGGTAGAAGGATAGACTCTTTTGTGGCAGCAAGTGCAAAGTTCACCTGTCTGTGTCTGTTAGGTAAAAGGATTGCCTCTTCTGTGCTAACAAGTACAGGGATCACTTTTTTCTTTCCATCTCTGCCTCAATTATATTGTGATATAACAAAGTTGCGTGATGTCCTAGTTTAATTAGCTAAAATTAAGAATAAGTAAATTAGTAATAATATATTTATTGTCAATTATACTTGATAATTTTTTTAATGATTTAATTCTAATTTGTAGAATAATGACAGTCTCACTCTCTCTTAAAGACTTTATACAACTGTGAATATTTTTTTAGAATTTTTACCATAATTTATTTCTTTTCTTTAGAAATAATAATAATAATTTTATATAATTAGCATGATTTTGTATATAAATAAAATAAATCACTGGTAATTTCAGAAATCCAACTTATAAAAGTTGGGTTTCTGAAAAAGTTCTTTTAATTAAAAGAAACATTTTCAAAACATTGGCCAAGAAAATAGCCAAATCTTGATTGATAATATTTTTTTCAATTAATAAAATGTACAGAAATTGAACATTATGAATAATTTTATCCCAATAAATTCTGAAAAATTATGTATTATTTATCAGTAATGTATTTTATATCAAATTTTTCTTTCTCATAATAATTTAAACTTACATAGTTAAATTATTTAACACATATGATAAAAATTAATCTTAATTTACTGTGTTAGTTGTTAGAGGAAACACCTCCCGATGGTGCATCTTTCGCCAAGCATGTGTCTGTAAGTAAAAACTTTAATTTATAAAGGTATAATTTCTTCATTTTTATTTTTTTACTACAAATATTTCATAGATTTCTATTTAAAAAAACACACATTTAAAGTAGTTATGTTATATAATATTATATATAGCAAATTTACTTTGAAACATCTAATAAACACATTCAGATTAATGTAGATTACATGCTCATCTATATATAATTTCATACTGATATACATTGTGTAACTGACAAAATTATGCCCATATTATGCAATAAATACAAATTTATTGGAATAGATGGTGTTTTATTGGTTAAAATGATTTATAACTTAGCTCCTTCATTTTTTTTTCAAGATATATATTTAAAATGTCAGACTTTAATACTTACAATACTTATTATAAACTTGACAAGAGGTTTATTAACCTGTCCCGTGTTATTCCTGATCTCGGATTGCAACCTTCTGATTTTGACCGGTAGACCCGAGATATCTCGTTTCAGCATCAGAACATTTTTGAAACTAGATGTCGCTAGTCTTTATAACTTTTATATTAAAACTAACTTCCGAAATATATTTTTTGTTTTGTTTTTACATTTATTAATATATCTATTTTGTTTGTGCAAAATAAATAAATAATTTCAGACGATACAACAACCATGATTAGTTTTCAAAAATGTGTAATTTCTGTTAGCATTGACAAAAATTCAACATGGTGTGACATGCAACGGAGAAAAATTTCAACATGGGATAGGTTAAATGATAAGAAAGTATATCTTGATAACTGAGATGGTTAGAACAATCAATATGATGTCTTTGTGAGGATAGAAAGCATTACTACAAAGGAAACAATTCATTGCAAATAAAAATTTTCAGTTCCATAGTTTTTATTTATTTATAGAATACATATATATAACTTACATATTTAAACTAGATATATTTAATTCTTGATTACAAAATTAGAGAGATTAAAGTTAGGAAAATAAAGTAAATATGTATTTTTCAGCTGAATTATATGTAATTATATTTGATTCAATTGTTGAAACACACAAAAATATTTATAATATATTTATATTTTTAAAATTTAGCATATCTTGAAACGTGAAGAATATTGGAATAATTGGAAAAATGAAGGTTGTCCTAATTTTAAAGAAGTAAAACAAGATACAGAAATGAGACCATTTTTAAGGTAAACTTTTTTGAAAGTTACGTAAGACATCATATTAATCTTCTGTGCATAAACTGCAGATATACTTTTCTATGTATATTCAATCTTGTAATCTTTATTCATTGTTACATTAACCTTAGCTCTGTTTAGTTTTGAATGGTGTTTTTTCTGTTAGTATTCATGTAATGTTTTTATAAAAACCATTGTTCATTAGTTGGAAATAATTTTTTTCTTATACAGTGACTTATTAATTTATGCATGTTTAATTTATAAAAATTTAAAATAACACGCAGCAACCATATTTACGGAAATTGTCCTGACAGGCAGCATAACAGCTTGCTATTTTCTCATTTTGTTTTGAAGATTGTCAATTGGTCCTCTTCTGGAAGTGCATAACTTTTTTTTACTAATTTTATAATGATTTGTTTTGTTAGAGGACACTTCTGCAGGTCTGTTAAGGATATTATAGTGCTAATTTACATTAAGTATGGATTTAAATTGCATAAGATCAAATCTTATGTTTAAATATATTCTTAATATAGTTGATAATTGCACACACTGGAATCTGATTATAATGAAGCACATGGTAAACTTTCTAGAATAATGAACATTTACATTTTTCCTAATTCAACCTATGTAGGAATCCATGACAAAATTTTACAGTTTAATATTACTTTTCTGTAGTTCCAAAGTCATAGAATTTCTTCAATTTTAACATCACTGTAACAATTTTGTTATAACTTCTTTCCCTCTTTTTCACTATTGCCTTTCAACTGGTAAACAATTATATCCAAGGGGAGGGATGAGCTCAGAAGTAACCGACCGATGTTCTGGAATACAAATCAGATTAACATATCAGTTTTAGAACTTTTTCATAAATTGTTCACAGTCAAATTTTAAAATAAAATTCAATTTATATGTTATATTTTCTTTAAAAAATGCATGATAAAATGAATAGGAATTATAATCAAAAGAAAAGAAATAATGTTTTTCATGAAATAATTAATTGTGCAGCAGAGAAACATTGACAAAATTAGCAGATTAATATTATAGAAAATTAATAGTAAGTCTGATTTAAGGATGCTTTTACTTATACTAAATAGGTATTTGAAAAATTATATGCAGGCTGCAATACATTTTAAATCTTTGCTATATTACTAATATATAAGATGTTAAATAAGCTAAGTTTGTGTTGTTTCCAAATGCTGAACATTTTGCTTTTCTTTTACATGAATGAATCAACAGTTTNGGCAGCCTGAATTTCATTTCCTAATTTACGTTTTTGTCTAAAGAAAACATAGTTTAATAAAAATAAAATTCAATTATAACTTACAAAAGGTTATATATATACATATATATATAACCTTTTGTAAGTTATAATTGAATTTTATTTTTATTAAACTATGTTTTCTTTAGACAAAAACGTAAATTAGGAAATGAAATTCAGGCTGCCATAGCTAAGAAAGAAGTATTAGTTGGGAGGTAAGCTATAAATTCTTCAAATAGTTTCTATTTATTTATAAACGTTATTTCATAAAGTGAAATTTTTGTTAGCTCTGAAATGAATCGACTGTGGAACCTGTGCCCCGACAATTGGGAAGCTTGTCGATCTCAAGCTAGGTATAAATTTTGATTTTTGAATACCAGTTTTATTAACTAATAAAAAATGTATATATTTTGGGAGCTTTGTTAACAATTCAAGAAGTCTTGAAAGATGTTATATATTTACAATATTTAATAATGTTATTTTTGGCATTGTATATTTTGATAAATTTAGTGAAAACGATTTTAATTACAGTTAATATGGATATAAACTTATAATTTTGGGAGGTAAAACATATGAAGCCAGAGATTTCTTAAAACAGATTAAAGTTTTGTAAGAACTTTTGTTATATAATTATTCAAAAGGAAGGGAAAAAATACTTTGAATTTGAATTTGGAGAAGAGAAGAATTGAAGAAAGTGTGATAAATAGTTGAGGAGAAAACAAATAAAATCAAAATGAATTTTTTAATTTTGTTTCCAGTTTAATTCAGCTTACAGACTTCTTAATATTTCACTAAATCAGATTATTTTAACAAATATTGTTGTCAATCTTTGTAACTGTAAACTCTCCCCAAATTATAATTCAAATTTTAAAACTAAAAAAAAAAAAAATATGAATATTCAACTCTACAGTTTGATGATAAGGAAAATGTCTTTACAATCTCTGTTGTCAAATTGTAGAGCTTATAAAGATACCCACTGTTCCGTACCAGTTAATATATATTATCTGACTATCAAGTTATTGGTGGAGATATACATCTCGAAAATTTCTTCAGCATCCAACTCAATCAAATCTGGATCCAGAACTCAACTTCCATTTAAATTGGATAATTCTGGAGGAGAAGGCATTAGGAGTATTGTTCTTGGTATATTAATTCTTTTTCTGGGATGGTGACTATGAATCATTTAGGACCTGCATTTGTTGCTTAGAGCAGTGGTTTTCATTCTGAAGATCACTTGAACTGGGTTGTAGACATAGTAAACTACTTGTGTCCTCTGCTAATTAGCCTGTAAAAATCATCAGTTATAAGCCAAAAAATTTTGTTTATATAGTAACCTAATGTAAAAGTTAAATGGTGGATAAAAATATTCCTTTCTCTGGCTAAACAGCATAGAATTGTATTTTAGAAAAAATGACATTAGGTGAGTTTGTGGCATGTGCTTGCGTACTGCTAGTGGCTTGTGTATCATACTTTGAGAAAAACTATTTAGACGTATTTTGCTTTGAGATTGATGAGAAAGTGAAATATTTTTGGTTTTTCATAATTATTGTATTCTTCATTAATATAAGAATTAAGAAAACACTGAAAGTTATAGAATTTAATTAATTAAACTTTATTATTTCTCCAAAAAATTTTCCTAAAATGGAATTTGAATCTGCAGTTCTTACCTAATGTGCAAAGGCAAACCAATTTCATTATCATGAATTTTTTTAAATTAATTATTAAATTTATAAAGTGGCATTTACACCTACAAGTAATGCATATAAAGAACTCTCTATTCATATGAGAAATCTTCTGTAAGTGATGTCTATACACATGATTTCTCATAGAAATAGAGCATACTTATACGAGTTGGTTGTAAGTGCAAATGCTGCATAACAGATAATGTCTTGTATATATAATTTAGATTTTCTTATTGTTAAAATCCAATCATAATATGGTAAATTTTAAATAGTTTTTGGTAATTAATACTAAATTATATTTATTATTAAAATTAATTTTGTAGAAATAAGTGCTTTAATATTTTCCTACTTAGGTCTTTTGTGCCATCATTAGATACATTTTTTGAATCTGCAATTGAACAAGCAGATCCATCTAGCCAAATAGAAAATTCATTTAAGTAAGTATTAATGCTAAGATAAGATAAATCATTTTTACATTAAGAAAATTGAATTAAAAATTAATACCAAATTTTTTAGATATGTCCACAATAGTAATTACGGGTGGAGGGCTCTCAGATTGTTATCGCAGAAGAGTCCACACTTTTTTACTCACAGTAATCAGCCCATTAAGAGCTTACCTTTATATTTAGAAAGTATGATTATGAAGTTGGCTAAAGAACTTCCGTTAAATGTGAGTATGTCAAATAAGTAATTTTATGTAGTTTCTTATACAAATATTAAAAAGGTTATGTTATAGCAACATCATCAGCAGTCACAAGAAGAAAAGCAGGATGTCGCTTCTGTCGCAGGGGATAGCGGAGAAGATAGTGAAGATGAATTATTAAAGAATTCAGACGAAGGAGGCAACAAAGAAGACAAAGGTGCAAATTTAAAAATTATTTATGTACTAATAAATTATTTAATTTTTGAGTTTTATATAATATGTTTTGTATAAATACATATATGATTGCAAATTCTTTTCCTTGAAAAATGAAGATTCTTGATTACATATTTTTCATTACATAATGCATATAAAGGTGATTGCTGTATCAAAGTAATGCAATGTAAAGGCTCAGAAGACCAATTCAGTTTTGTAAAAATGCTTCTTTCTTTGGTTTAATCCGAGGACTACCAGCCCTTGTATTAATCTGTACTTGTGAGATTCTTCCGTGGCTATCACTAGCTACACTCATAATGTATACAAAATTAGTAGTATAAACGCCTAAGATTCAAGAAAAAATTCTAAATTTGAAATTGGTTTTCTTAACAAGCAAGTTCTGGCGTACTGATAATTATGATACCAAGTTTTGTGAAATGTTGCAATGTTATATTTTGATGTAGAATAAAATATTCTAATCTAACCATTTTAAAACCATAGAAATGAAATAATAGATTTTATTTTATGAATTACTAAAGTTATTCTCAATAAGAATCAGTTTTCCTGCAGAAAAGTACTTAATTTCAAAGAATCGAATACTTATGATTAAACACAGTGAATGGACCAGATAACTGAGCAGTTAACGTGGCAGCCTGCTGCTCCAGGGGATTCTGGATTGAAACTGGATGAGTAAAAAAAAATATCTATCATCACCGGCTGCTCCATGTAGACCCTGGTTGAACTTAACTGCCCGTTACAACAGACCCCTTTAAAAACAGATAAATAATAATTACACTTAAAAAGTATAAAATGTTTTTACAAAAAATTTCATATTTTTTAATGATGTGTAATTCTTGGCACAAATGATATCAGATTAATACATTTATTTATTTANTTTATTTATTTATTTAAATTAATACAAAAGGCAATTACCAAATTGTATTGGGTTATACTACTCCTACTATAATTAATTAAATGCTAAGTAATTTGGCACCAGAAGTAGGAATTTGATGCCATCTCATGCTAAATTTTTTAATAATTATAATTAAATTAATATTTTAATAATTAATTTAGAAGGTCTGGAAGAAAAGAATCGGCCCAAAGTGGGAATTGAACCCACAAGTTGGCAACATGAGCATGTAATGAGCAGGATTGCAGATTTGAGTCCCGCTTCAGGCCGATTCTTTTCTTCCACAACCTTCTAAATTAATTATTAAAATATTAATTTAATTATAATTATTAAAAAATTTAGCATGAGATGGCATCAAATTCCTACTTCTGGTGCCAAATTACTTAGCATTTAATTAATTATAGTAGGAGTAGTATAACCCAATACAATTTGGTAATTGCCTTTTGTATTAATTTAAATAAATAAATAAAATCAAACAATGTCAAGAGGGTAGTATTAGCCTCCTCCAATACAACAAGTGTACATAATAAAATCCATTAAAAGTAATTTAAAACAATAACAAGTAACAAATAACATGTAAAAAGCATATAGAAAAACATTAAAGACAATATAATTTAATGTTAACAAGTATAGAGGTCATTATGGAATTCATGGCAACAGGTTTTTTTCTATGATACATGCAGCAACACTGTAATTCTAGAATATACATTTGAAAGCCCCTTTGAATGTTCTCCCAAATGTCACCACTATATTGGTCCGGGTCAGCAGGAACTGGAAAATGCATATGTGGAAATTATCATTTAATAAGGAAATACAGTGTATGCAATGAACAAAAATGAATGCAATAATGCACAATACAAACTACTTATACTTTTCAAATTAGTCTCCAAGATTGTTCATAGTGTGTTGCCAGTGATGGATAAGGAAACAAATGCCATTGGTTGTATGTGTCACTTGTGTGTCATTGTTGCTATATTGATGATGTTTCAGTAAGAGACATCCCACTAAAATGTCATCAATGCATTTTCTTCGTTTAGAAAGTGTTTTCCATGTAACGACTCTTTTCTTTGGGAATCAAATCAAAGTCACACAGACTATGGTCTGGTGAATACAGAGCCTGTTCTAAGACTCTTCACTCCCAAAGTAACAAATCCTTTACAGGATCTGCTGTATGAGGTTTTGCATTATCATGAAGGATTATAGTGTTGGCCAGCAATTCTTCAAGTTTCTTCACAAATGGCATGGCTCAACTATAACTTCAGAAATGATTTGCAATATTCAGTATTCACAGTATGGCCATAATTAACTGGGTGACACACAAGAATACCTTGACAGTCATAAGCCAGAGTTACATATATGATTACATCTATACGTGAAATCTTGATATCATAACTGATAATAAATCTGTCAGGAATTGAGGTTTTATCTCAATTTGCCCCTATACATTTCCATGTTAGTTCATTTTTTAATTATCAATATTTTGTATGGAATTATGACATTTTCCTCCTCTAGATAAACTTGCATGATTAATTTAATCAAAAATAGTGTACAGTGAAAGATCCATTAGAAATATGGTTTAAGGCATAAATTCTGTTCAGACTTGTTTATTTTATGGTATTTATGACAATAATAACTATTGTTTTTTAATTTGAACATTTTCAGATAGGAGCAAACACGTCAATCCATTGACGTTAGAGAACGTTCTTCAGATGCTGTCCGTAAAACTACAGAGGGACTGGAAAACCGTGGCTCCCAAATTGGGTTTCCAGCCTGATGAAATTTTATATTTCGAGAACGAACTGCAGAGTCCGACACAACAGGCCAAACACATGCTGACGGTTTGGGTGGAGCAGGAACCGGAGACCGCCACAGTTTCAAATTTACAAAAGATTTTAAACGATGTTGCTCTGGAAGATATCGCCAAAGAATTAAATAATGTGGATTCGCTCAATAAAGTACAAATAAAAACTTAATGTTCCAATACAATAATTTATTAGTTATATAAATGTCTGTACTTAATTCATTAATTATTAGATAAATAAATTTTATAGTAAGAAAACTTATAATATACTCTAGAAAAGAAATTTTTATAGCATTGGCTATAATGCAAATTTCTCAAATTGCATTTTACACGATCATGTGAATTCATTATGTTTGTTTATTATTATAACAATATGAAGTACTGGTATAACATGCTACATTGTTTGGAGAGAGGCTTCCAAAGATGCCATTTTCTATATACCAAGCACTCTGAATATAGGAAATTATATATTTTGAAAGAGCTATCCGAATAAGACAGCATGTGGCACCATGACTATTGGAGAATTGGAGTGCAGAAGTAGTTAATATGAAATAACGTGATACAATGGGGCTTTATCCTATGGGCAAAAAGTGCAATTGCCTGGGAGGGTGTCCCTAACCAATCTCAGTGAAATTCTAGGGAAAATATTTCTATAAGAAAAATGGCTGAAGTCAACACTATATGGGGTTACCTAATTCAAATTTGCCTGGGTTTGCAGCCGTGCACGAAGATATAACGCGCCACCGACGTGGTAGGCGTGAATTTCGCAGCGTATAACTGTTTAGGCTGTAAAAGTTAAATTCCACGGACCTTAAAATATCGGTAAGTATTGATAAGATTTATATTCGGACGATTTATTTAATTATTTTTTAAGATTTATGAGAAGTTTTCCTGTACAAATTGCAGAGCTGTGACAAGTTCACAAAGATAGGCAAATGTAGGAAACGAATTTGCGTTCGGTCCAGGACTGTGTTTTCCCGATGATGTTCGGCTCAAGAAGTAAAACAAGGGATTCGTTTGGGTTCGTTGGTTTAATTTAATTCAATTTTACACGCAAATCGTAATTGAAAAGCGCCCACATACAGCAGCGCATTGGAAAGAAATGGTCCATCCGGATAAGTCGGGCCCGTCCCTTACCACCCGGCCGCCCCAATTGTGGGCCTGTCCGAACCCATAAGGGACTTGCTAATAGAGACTTAGTGCCCACAGGGTGGAAAGAGTTTATAAAAAAGGTACAATATTCAATATGAGCAATAAATAACGCTTATAATAATTAAGGATAAATAATAATAAATGAGAGAATTATTTTTTTTTAATTTTATAAAATAATTAAAGAATAATTAAATTATATTATGTCGATGATAAATTATTTTCAAAGTGCCACGACCGACATTTTTAATTACTCGCTCACCATTTATTTCACAATAGGAGTTATTAAATATTTCTCATAATAAAACGTTAAATGTGTTTAATTTTGACAAAGTTTCTTTCATAAATTTAGTTAAATAAGATTTTAGAAATCCAATAATAAGTCTGTATGATAAAATTATAATTAATTATTTTTTTTAACTTATTTCTGTGTGAACGAATTTAATTTAATCTATTCTCCAGTCCAATTCATAAAGACTGGATAGGAGTAGAAAATAAACTAATTAATCTGAACTTATTTACTTAAATTCCTGAATTCAGATAAGATTTAGTAAGGAAATACGTTAATTAATTGGGAAATATTCAGATTAAGCATCTAAAACATTGGCGGAAAGTGTATTTTGCATGTATTTGTATGCAAAATACAATAAAATCCAAGATATTGTTATTGGTCGTCTAATATTAACAGAATAAGCACATCCAAAAACATATAAATTCAAATACACTCATAAAACTTCCCTTATTATAATTAGTTTGGATTATAGATTATCGTTTTCAGGTAAATAAGCGTTTTCAAGCTGTCTTTCGCTCTATCGCCACTTTAATATGTGAAGAGTAATCGTTATCGATGCTTTAAACGTTAGAATGGATGAGTGGAAGAAATAGAAGAGACAGAGTAAGGAATAAGCCAGGCCCTTGCGCAGAATTAAGGAAAGACAGGCGGACGGACGGACGGACGACAGTGGGAATTTATAGGTCTACAATTTGTTCAAATTGCAGCCCAACAATATGGGAGACTAACAAGGGGACCTTACGGTCTCGGAAATTCAGTTCGGGATGAGACTTTGCAGGTTAGTAGTATACCTCAAGGGTGTCCATCCAGAAGAATTGTAAAGCGCACTAGCAACAAGATTCCGAGAAAAAAGGCTCTAGAGTTTTAAGTGCAGCTCATATACCGATCGATTTTACACTATAGCAGCACTGCGAAATGGCTGAGCCTGTAGCGAACTCGTTTGCCACGCGGACGATCTATGTTCGATTCTACCTTCGGCTAACTTTTTTTTTTTTTTTAAATTGTTTTAAAAATTGTAACAACTTTTAAATAAAGTTAATGACCTAAAAATATTATCAATTAAATCATAAATAA